AGAATGACAATGACTATTTGTTCTCATTCTTGCCATTGTGTGTTCGTGGGCTAGTGTGCGTTAACTTGTTTATAGAGCGCTTATGAGCAGTGACCAATGAAATGTCAGTGAGAATCACAAATACCAATCAGCTTTCACTAAAAAGTTTCGGACAAATTTCCACTAACACTCATCGACTGACGTGTATCACGAGATCAGGAACCTACTGCATATATCATGGGGTTCCGATTAAAAACACTTTACAAGGTTTATTCATCCACATATGTAGTGTTTTAAGAAAACCTACCCAAACTATTGCTCTCATTAATAAGACTAGCACCGGCACTTTTTCAAACTTCCCAGACAATTGTTCATCAGACTGAGTCATTCAGCAAATACGACTTGTGTTCGAGAGACGAAATTACCATGGCGGTCGGCTCTTTTGTCGGATCACCAAGTCTAAATTTCCGGAAACTACAAATTCCAAAACTTTCAGGTTAGCAAAAACGGATGTAAAGAAGCACAGTCTAGCGTTTACGTTGGCAAAGCCTTTGCCTTCCTCGTCAAACGCATTAAAATCCACCCTGCAAATCGACAAGTTGGAACTGTCTCAGCTTAGACTATTCGCGTAATTTGGATTGGATTGTTGAAAACTTAATTCACCAAGCACTAGATCAATCAGTCAGACCATCTTTAAATTGAATCATAGATGGAATAAGCTGCTGTGGGACGACGTAAAATGGATGAAACGCAATTGGTTAGGGGCCAGCCCAAGAGGATCGAACTAACTCTCTCGACGTAGCAGATGAGAACGATTGCTGGGACTAAAACTACCGAGCAAATTTCGTGGGGGACTATTTCAGTGGGCGAAGTTTTGAAAACTAATTTCTGAATCGCATAACTACATTAATCCAGACTGTGTGATAACCTGTGTGGCCACATCTGCAAGTCATGAACCTAGCAACTAGACATGGATCACAGCCAAGGCTGTAATCACGGATCAACAGATGGTTCAAGCTAGCACGCTTGCATTAACTGACAATGCATGCCACACTATGCAGCTAATTTATTGACCCTGTGGCTGTCTTGTGCGACTCGCAGTCAGTTGACGTCACGACTGAGAATTTTTTGGAGATAAGCATGTAACTCATTCGTCCTTCCTAAATTACTAATGACATTTACTGTGTACAGACCAAAGCAACTAAGTAGAAGAACTGGACAAGGGTGTATAGACTCTAGCAGTATCGATTTTTCGCCTGTGTATGATCCCTGTGGCAGTCAAAGCATCCAGTAAATAGGGGTTGATTGATGCATTTGTGCAATTTTGAGGTGATGGGCTTCGATATAATACCGTGACAGTTTACTTGAGGTAATATTAAAAAGGCGTTTTTAAGTATTTTCATAAGGTGCTTTATCAAAACATGATTTCATTAATCATGGGCCTATTTTAACTAATGTTCAATATCACGCTTCATAAGATTTCCACCATACGGAGAATTCCATGTTTTCAACATTCCTTGATTTGAACAGAAAAAAATGCGTAGCGATTAGTGGCTTTCCACCAGGTTCCGTTTCTAGGGAAAGGACTATTTTGCAGTAACCAACAAATTCTGCAATATTTATTTTCGAAAATCTACAGGCTATTTTCTTTTACATTAGCAAGTTAAAGTTGCTAACATGCATTGTCGGACAAATCTTGAAATTATTATGCAGTGTTGTAAAGACGGTATGAAAAAAAGGACGCTTTAAATCTAGGGTATTTGAAAAGTAGAATTAAAAGGATCAGGTAACAGCCCACCAGGTTATTTAGCGATTACATGATTAGAATGTGTGTGCCAATTTTAGGTCCGATGCGTAATTTTCGTAATCCATTAAGTGTACCCACCAGTATACTGGTTGCTTTGATCAAGAATTTCTTTCGTCACAACCAAATGAATAAGAAGGAGAAGTCAAAAAACGATGGCATCTCGATCGTTTTTGGCGCTGACCAAAGCTCTGATGACGAATTGTGCTGATCCGGTCATTCGTGATTTTTAGTGACAACGGTGCCCGAACGCATATCGTCTTAAGTGCTACAGGGGCAAAACCGAGTTTTCACGTTTAAATTCAACCTGAGACATCAACAGCGCCTTACACAGTGTTTCAATAGGCCCGCCATTTACGTTGGGATTTAAGGGAGGTCCATTGTGTCGTATCTTTAATCACAGTTTGCTTATCCTCATTCACTTTTCATGCTTTCAATAGTTAATCGCACGCTTTCTTCTACTTTGAGATCGAAAGTGCGGCTTTAGATTCGTAATGCGACAAAATTTATTAAACAGGCAGTAACTCCGACAACGAGTAATATGATCTAGATTAGTTTGGGTAAAATAATCCATCGTTTTGCACACGCCCTAACAAAATTTTTATTTGAGTACCGAAAATCGATTAAGTTCACTTAAGTTAACGGTAAGAACATACTTGACCAGGCTCAATACCCACAAAGCAATCATCATGTGAGCAACAGGCAGCTTCTGCCGAATATTGGTTATGACGCAGACAAAGTTGGATGAAATGAAAGCAAAAACGATGAAATAAGCAAAAAATTCGTTAAGTTCGGAAGTCTGGTTACCGTCGTGCCAATTTCGTTTTTCCCATTAAAGCTGATGTAGTGATTGGGCTTGTATTAGAAGTGTTGAGTTCAGGCAAAAGTTCCATTAGAGAAGCAGGTTTATTTGTTAAGTTCTCGCAAATAGACTTAATATTACACTTAAATTATTTTTAGTAATGCACATAGGGCTCCTTATCTGCAGATGTAAATTTAGAACTGTTGAACGAGCATCTCAAATCCGTTGTAAGCATTCCAGTTTTCATTGTGAAACGACACGTGAGCTTTAAAACTGTGACATAGGAGGCTTGCTTGCACACATCCTATCCACACTCCCACACGGTTGCTGTTGCAATGATATGAATAGCATTGCAGTAAAACTGTGCACTTGGATATGCACTTTCTCTAGGCAGGCATGCAGGCCTGATAACAGACCAGGCTTTGTATGACGGTCACACTGAAGTTGGCGCCAGGTTTAGATGGCACACATTGGCTTTAAATTGGGTCTTCCAGGGGCAATTGAACAGAAGTTAATTCGATTTTTTAACGACGATATTTGGAGCCTGTCTCGTAGGTATGAATTAAGAAAACGGTTGCCGAATATAACACGTTTGAGGCTGTCACAGGAACACAAGGGCAGGCATTTTAATTTTGGAACAATGAAAGGAGAAATTCTGAGAATATGCTGCGTAGTGTGTATTAACTGCCTCAAACCCTGAAAGGAGGGTAGTAATTGAACTAAACCATGCATCTTTAAGGCTAATCATAACAACGGTTGTGAGTTGGAACTGATGCCAAGACCAAAAAATAAGCTGGTCCAAAAATTTGCTGTGGGCGGTCACTACTGGCCCGCTGATTTGTCTTGTTAGCCTAGTGAGGCGCTTTTATTTGTTAGAATCACTTCAAGCCCCCCCCTTTTTAAAATTCTTCATAATAAAAATTTATTTGTGCACCTCGTAGGAGATAGCACCGATCCGGAGGCAAAATATTGCATAGGAAAGGAATAAAATTTGGCAATCAAGACCATTAAAATGTTTAGTTTATAAGTACCAGAGCTATGGGAGCTAGCCTACACCCACTTCACTGTAATATCCATCCATGCAGCCTTTTGTAAATTTCCCTTTTAGCAGCTGACCCAAGCGTTTTAGACATCAGCTGCTACGTAAGCTATTATTAAGCATCCAAAGGAAGCCTGATTCGAATCTTTAAAAACGACTGGTTCAGATGCAGTCAATTTGCTCAATTTCGCCGACATTGTAACCGGCGCCTCAAAGACAGACGTTGCATTCTGCATTTGTATGACAAAAGGGCTAGTTACACTCTTTGTTCACATTCACTTCTATTACTTGAACAGCAATTTCAGCGATTTAATACCATAGAGCTTCCGAAACTTTGTTTACTAAACATTAGGAGTTGGCAATGAAAAAGTGGTCATGCAATTTCAAATGTTTTATTTATTTTTAAATGTTATCGCATCTGTAGAAGTTCGTCTTATACCTCGATAATTTTGCAGATTGTCCCGTAAAGTTGATTCGGAAACAGTAAATGCTTTCTCATCCGACCTACACCTCCTGTTTAGCCACAAGCTAGATGTTTTTGATGAGAGGGGTTGAAACCACAGCAACTGGTCCAAATTTTATGCCTGGAGAATGGCCTGTCAATGTAATCTGCCAGTTTTGTGATGACAAATTCTGGGGTTACATTTTGATTCAAAAAAGTTAGTCTTTTGAGAATCAAGGGCGAAAATTTAAGGACTCCAGACCAATGTTTTATGTACAGACAAAATTTCAGCCGACTATCTTTTAAGTACAATTTTTTTTAACATGTTGTAACAAAACACAATCGGTTGTATCGATGGCATGCAGAAGGTAATGTTTTACGCATAAACAATGTAAGAATTCTGATAGGAAGAAAAACAAAACAATAGATTTATTGCCAAAAAGTTTTAAGACCAAAGCTCCTGTTTGCAGACTAGAGATTTTTTGAATATTCCTTTCTTGGCTGCCAGTACCTTTTGAAGGTTGGACCGCGACAAAAAGAAACAAAAAACCAGGTAAGTGAACCGAGAAACTCCACGACTGGTTGCACGATGCGGTCAGACTAGCCTTGAACAAAAATTGCTTGGGTTCGAACAATGGACAAGCACCAATCTTGGCAGAATCAAGAAAAGGATTATCAAACGCACACGTAATAAGACTGCAAAAGGCTGCAAGTTAATGGTGCATGGTTGTAAATAGAAACCACATTATTTAAACAACTTTATGATCCATGCTGTCTGCATTGTGAATTATAAAGGAATATTTACATGCACCGATGAGTAAACAAAGTTAGAGTTCCATTAAGAATCAGCACCAGTGCTACCTGCAAACAGAGAAGAGTGTGAAAATCAACACAACTAGATGCCCACGGCCTATTGTAGACCGAATTGTAAGTCATGGTGGGTGGACATGCTCATGAATAACATGAATTGAAAGCTGAGCGTTCGTTACAAATTCACACCAGCTTAAAGCAACTGTGTTTAGACAAGCAATGTGTCGTACGCATCGCCCTGGGAAATAATTAAATACATGTAAGAACTAGGTTTTGTTGACATTCCACAAGGCAAAATCATCTACCATGCATTAACCATCTAAGTCGCAATACTGGCTGAGCCATCCACTATATGGCGTTTCTCTTCCATCCTTATCTCCGTTTGGATCATGATATTTCCCTTAGGCCATTGACACGCACAAAGAAGAAAGATTAACTGCTCTCGGCGTGAAACAAATGGCGACGTGCAACACTGGCACTACAACTAACAATCGAACTCTTATGGGCCAACTTCTTCAGCTAGTGCAATGTACTTTATTATTGGTAGACCACGTAACAACTGTGTCCATAAATGTTAAGCAGATGTAACCGAAACGCATAATTTCTCAAAACTACTCATATAATATTTAAGTTGCTCAAAAGTATAGGAAGTCTCCTAAGATGCTTAAGTAAAAATAAATTCATGAATCGCTACATTGTCCCGTGGTGGGCCACTATAAACCATAGGAGAAATCTTAGTTCAATTGTTTTAACAAACACAACAGAGGTAACAAAACGGTTCCTAAAGACTATATAAAAAAAGTAGGTGGTGTGATAAACATGTACTGAACCGACCGAAGGGGAAATAAGTGGATAGGTCAATGTCGGACCGCTGACTGTCAGACAAGTTACAAAAGACTAGTAGAAGGGTACTGATGCATTTCAGACTACAATACACAAATACAAAAAAGGTAGTGGTGATGGAGAGATAAGAGCAAAATTAATTACCTGGCCGTAAAGGGAGTCAATGATGTCCTTAAATCGATAGGCTCAGCTTGGGGAAGGATAGATGGTGGAAGGCAATTGAGGGCCCGACCACCATGCGCTGGCCGAATAGAGCGCGATTTAGACAGTTAAATTAGATTACGTGAGCAACGGGATGTTGGCTTAATCAAAGAATTATTCAGTAAGCTGACATCATGCAACAGTTGTCTAATTATGCCCAAATCAAAACGACTAATTAAAGCGTTACATTGCCTGCAATTAAATTAATCCTAAAATGTCAAATCACGTCAAATAACAAAAGCGTAAGGTTAAGGACATTATGCAAGTCCAAAAGGCTCGACTTAAAATTTTTTAGTGGGTTTTGAGTACAAATAACTACCAAAAACAGCCTAATGAAATTGCATTATTGTATTTTAATTAAATTTACATGCTCATTTTAAATGTCGCCAAAACACAAAGTAGTGTTTCTTTAATTAAAAATGGGAAACAGCAAACAAGCAGTTAACTGGAGTGGAAAATTTAAGGAAACGACAAGTATCCAACGCGTTAATAAAAACAACTGCCTGTTAATCTAGCATTAGCAAATGAATATGACATTGGGATTTCTCATAGGAGGCCAATTTAAATGACAGCTACACATCTAAATTGCCAATATTCATAAATAAATCCATATTTGAACACTGATAAATAACAAATTTGAAAACCATTCATTAAAATTGCATGGAAATGCAAATGAATTCCTTTAATGAATTAAAATTTTGTAGCGTATATCTTGAGTTGCAGCTCTAAAAATAGCTTTATCATCTTGGTTGTTACCATTGCTCAAAATGATCTCCTTTATAACTAACTGCTCTGGTTATATCAAGTGGCCGCATTATCAGTAAATCATGATACAAGTTTTTTTGAAAATCCTTGTCAGTGCGTTTTAATTTACCACAGGGTAAATGTTATCAAGCGGCATATTTGGCTAATGTAAAAAGAAGGCTGTGGTTCAGATGGCGGTTCAAGTCAAACCATTGTTGTCTTTGACACCCATTGAAGTTTTGCCTAAATTTATTAAAGTAGTGCTTTTTATGTGCTAATTGTCTGTGCTTAGAATTTGGAAGATGCAGCGAAATTTGTTAAAAAGCTTAAGGAAACTGATCCTGACATTGTTAGTTCAGCGGTAAGCAAAATTATAGATGCTAAGGTGTTTAGGTTAACCGTTCCGGGTCCGAGGATGATCACCGCATGCTTCATGGTGGTCTAATTTATCTAGCTCTTACGGAGCCAGAAACACGTCGCACTTGTCTCCATGATATTCTTTTGACATCAAGGGATAACCTCAATTATGCCCTCTCTGAGCTGACTCGGTTGGTAGCAGAGGCGTGGCCAAAGATGCTTCAACCAGTGCGGAAGAGCATGTTGGCTATTCTGGCTGAATTGATAGCTACTCGCGGCGCTAATGTAGACATACTTGTATTGCACGTGTTTCGCAGAATGCCATGTATGTAAAATCTGGTCATATTTTTCGTGTTTGCATTTTCTTTTATCGTTTTGTGGGTGCATTTTACGCATTTGTTGTGTCTGCAGGGTTTACTTTGCGTTACTGCGTCACCAATAGGTCTTGGTTTAACACTTAGAATCATGTAGAACCAGTAGCCTTTGACACTTACACATTAAACATGTATGTCGTTGATATTGGCCTCATTCTCTTTATTCTTTTAGCCGGCGACTTAAGTTCTCTGAATCTGTGGCTCATTCAATCCGTCCTTGATCTCCTAATTAGAAATAGGTAATTTATTGATAAAATCAAATGTCAGTTAGTTCGTGTGAGTGACACTTGTATGTGGTCTTTAGAGAATGGCTGGAACATGAGGACAGAAAACCGTTTCTTCTGCCCCTGGCAGTCTACACCTTTCTTCGCCTTATACCGGACCACCTGAATGGATCGCCAAGTTCGTCCTCAAAAGGATTCGACCCTGCTGTGTCCTCAACAATAGCTACTTTGTTTCAGCGGGAGTCCAATTTTGTAGTGGAAACCTTACGAAAAGATGTCTGTTTTGAATATTACCATGCGAGCTGCATTAATGCAAATTTTTCCCCAACTCCGTGCTTCCAATTTTAGTTTGACAGATGCGCGTCGATCGGCCGAGATCTCATCCGATTGCTCCATCCGCTTTCCCGTACGGAACCCTTTCAGCGCCTATGGAATGATATTTTTAATAATATTTCTTCATTGTCGAACATCCACACGAGTAAGTTTGTGTGACGTGGTCTTTTGTTTGCGCGAGTTTAAACCATGACTTGATACTTTGAAGTTGTTTATGTGCATATCCTGATGAAAGGCACACTTTTTTGCCTAAGATTTTTCACAGACCTTTGTAGTCGAAAGTCTGGAAAAAACTGTTCTTTAATTTTTTTTCCTAAAACTAGGTGTTAATAGTGTGCTGGATATCGCAACTCCTCAGTATTTCGCACAGACCCTTATTCCTCAAGATATGGAGGTTTGGATTAGATGGATGCTGAGAAACGTTCATTGCGCATCCGGTTTCCCTGTTAGACGCTACCAAGAATTTTTTCACGTAAGCCAATTCCCGTTTTTTCGTCTCCTAAATCCGCTAACACAAACGCAAATGCCATTCCCATAACTGGGACTAACGTTTATAACAGCATTCATCCTTTATTGAAATTCGTTTCCCTGTTTCCGCTACTTCAAGATGTTGCAACACATAGCTTTTCTGTTATGCTAACTACTTTGTGCAATTTAGGCGTTATTCAAATCATATTATTCTTATGTTTGGTCTTCCGTTGACTCTGATTGTTTTCACACACCTTAATTGGGATCTCGTGCCAATAATCAGCCATCGTTTTTATTATGTTGCTTTTATCAAAGTGGAAGTTACTCACGATGCTTTTTGCAGCTTATATTGCTAACATCTACACCCAGTGCTTAAGTGATTGCAAGTTCTAATTACAATTCCATTGTCAAGGGACTAGGTTTTGTAGCAAACTTCGGTTGGGTCATTAAAATTCAACTAAATTTTCTCACCAGAGATCAATAATAAGTCTTCAATTACATTATTCGCCTATTGCATCATCAGCAGGTCTTTATACTGAGGTTTCTGTCACGTAATCTGTGTAAACTGTTGATGTTGTTAGGGCGTCATGGTTTTACAGTGTTGAATTCTAGGGGAGTGCCTCTTGGCTTGATGAGATCCCGACTCACTGCGCCAGTCTGGCCAGAATCGATTTTAAAACTTTTTCTAAGTTCAACGGGATGTCCCGTGGCATTACTCTTTGTTAATCCATCTCCTAACGACTTTTCCTTATATTTTTTTTCTGTTCAAACAGAAAAAGTTCTTTTCAACACAGGAAAGTCTGAATCTTCGAGTTTGCCTAGTAAGGTACATCGTGAATTCCTTCTATCCTGATAATGACATGCTCGCGTCAAGCCTCATTCCACGATGGAATGTCATTTCGTGGCTCATCTCCCAGTGTACAGTAAGCTCTTTACTTATCTGTTACTTCCTACCCGTTAATCTCAACTGTCTGATACGGTTACGTCTATACTGGGGGTCTAGTGAGTAGGCAAAATCTGTTAGTCATGATTGGTCTCTCATTCTCAAGTTCCACAGTTTGTTCATCCGAGGATTTTGCCTCCACGAGCACAACTAATTGTCCTCAGAAACGATCTGTCTTACAAGGGGTAAGATCTAGATCTAGGGTGCCAAGTAATGGGCGATAAAATTTCGCCAAGGCAGGCATGCCTAGGAAGTCAAATATTGAATTTTTTACTCGGAGAACCTGATTCCAGTTTTTTAACGTAATCAGTAATGCACGCCTTCTTCGGCCATCGATAACCTACTGTTACATGTCTCGAAAAATGATGTTCGCAGTTCTAGTACATTTCCTGGGATTTTTATCGAAAAGTGAACGATCGTACTGTTCGAACGAGCGTGACTCTCAAGTGATCCGTTGCGAGTAAATGCGTGCAACATGTGACCCTCTTAGGAATAAATAGTTTAGTGAACAGAATGCGCAACTACCTTGTTTGGTGTGGGCCATCTGAAGCATTTTGTTCACCGTTAAAACTGCGCAATACTGATTTTCATTTCATGCCACTGATGTTAGCTAAAACATGAACATTACTCAAGTTACGTCGTGCCAGCTTGCATTAACAAGGTACCGTCGAGACGTGCAGTTGTGAGTCTGGTATAATACGAGGTCATAGCGGCAGCATGTTTACCAGAAAGCCGCATTGACGCCCGCTTTTGTAGCCTACATTTCCCGCTTTCACCCTGGAGCGAGGACCTACTAAAATTAAATATCAACATCACGCGGCATGATGCGCTTTCCCTCTAATATCTCGTTTCATGCAATTTTTTATTCATGTGCTTACTCAGGTCGCGTGATATATAGTGAGGGGCAAGCAGAAATCCACCTGATTCACATTTACGTGTAATCAGGGGTTCAAAGGATAACTTCCTTCCAATCAAAAAGATCCTTTTAAGCCCTTGTCTATGCGGGTGTTTTCTTAATGCAAATGTGCACTTTTTGAGCCCATGTGGGTCAAGTGCATGTCGGCGCGTAAGTTCGACGCAGACTTTACTCGGCAGCAGTCCACGACATCGCTTGCTTCAGAGACGCTGAAACAATGATCAAAAGCATGGCACATTTAGCTCAAAATGTGTCATTGTGTGAAGATTTGTGTGTGTGTGTGAGTGCGCGCACTCTGGTTTAGGGCTTCGCGATTATTACCAAGTTGCAGCTTCCTAGGTCTGTGGGTCACGTCCTTTTAGGTGTACTACTAAGTTCTACGGTAGCATTAAGTGATGTGCAAAGATCTCAACCCATATGATTGTTCAGATAACGATCTGATCATCGTAAGCCCTGAGATTTCGGTAAAATACTTCTGTAAACCTGACGTAGCACCATTATGTTTATTGTACCTTCTACCAACTCCGTGCTGTCAGACGCTTGTTTCGAAAAGTACTCTTGTTCTTGTCTTGTGTGCACAACAATTACTCACCTCGCTTTATGCTCGAAATGGAAAAAAAACATCATCTCGCCACATGAATGGCAGAGGTTATACTCTCGTTAGGTATTCCAGCCATAACCCGGCTCCCCTGTGGACCTTTGTTTGTGCATTGGAATTCAAAATCTAGTTTTACCTGATTTAGTAATGGACCCCAGTGGCACAGCTCTCGATTCCAGCATTGTTTGAGCGTGTGAAGTCGCCTCTCACTCCAGTGGCCATCAATATTCACTTGTTTAACTCCGTCTGTCACGCGTTTCATTTCGTTTTCTTCTCTTTTTTTTTCAGTGTCAAACCACGTGCCAAAGCATGAAGCTGGCTCTCTTTTTTGATTGGTTTTTCTTTAAACCCAACGAATGCATCATGAATGTTGGTACGTCTTCGGTGTTTTCGTCTCTTGCAGACTCTGTTCGAGTATTTCTGTCGAGGTCAATCCAGTAACTGAAATGTGCTGAGTGCTAGGCGGACACAAATTTCTCTCAAATGACCATCGCGTTTCGTGAAGATTGTCCAAATAACTCACTTACCTCATTAAAGAACGTTTGTGCCATTTTTACAATATCCTATCTATGTTACTAGTAAGAGCGTATTCGCGATGGATTTCACGGAATTGCGTTTGATTCAATCCGAATTAAAACACGTTATTAATTTCTATTGCAGAGCCAGCAATCCTGGCAATTGCGAATAATCTCTCTTCTCGATTTCAACCGTTTGGTCTCGTTTTGGTGGAGTATCTTACTAAGGTATGATTTCATTGTCTTCCCAGTGTTCAATCAGTTCCGAGTTGCTGTCACGACTATTTCCCCCTCCCTCTGTTTAACTCCTTATTTAACAGAATCCAGTTTACTTCCGTGGTGCTTATCAGCGTGTTTGACTCGAGTCCACACCTGGGCAACCGCTTTCTTGACGCTACAGCGAAGTGAGTAGATACATCGAGGAGAATGAGATGGCAAAATGTGTCTATTGGTGGAAAAATGGAGGCCAGGCAGGAGTAGGGGTCTACTCGTATCACGCGATATTCAAGGCTACAAAACGAGCTGATTTTCTCTGACGCAATCGCTCATCGTTACGGGATCAGGCGTGGAGGCGTTTAGGGGTTGACTGTTTGACTAGAGCGTAGCGACCACAAGAATACTGTCACCAAAGTCGTTCCTGTAGATCAAACATTCCACTGATATTCGCAGGGGTTGCAGTTCCGGATTCACCACTGAGTCTTGTTTTTCGCAATCTAAGACAAAAGAGTGTGAGGTAGGCATGAAGGCACAATGCTAGTCGTGTTTCACGGTAGTATGCGACCACTAGCACAGGTGTACAGTGCGATTACTTTGCTTTGTAGACTGCTGCCAACTTTTGTCCAGCCCTTACGGAGAGAATAGCGATGTCGGTTCGATCGGGCCTGGAGGACATGCTGCGTTTGGGCGTCATAAGGTTGGTTTATGCTCTTTGTTTAAGGTTCTTTTTCCAACTTTTCGCAAATCTGGTCCCAAACTTGTAATTCTAATCTATACTATGTGTCTTATGAATCCATAGTCAATACTTCCTGCTGAATATTACTAGTTAGGAGTTACTCGGAGTCCATTTCATGAAGCCTTAAGCCTGGTAATTTGATGGTGGACGAGTATACGCGTGGTGTATGTGACGTTGGAGCATAAAATTCAGCGTTGTTGTGTATTTTTGCCAAAAGGACACATCTGTAGTACTTATTGTTTGTATTTTAAGATGTATCGGGTAAAATTTCGTTCACTATTTCACCATATATTCTGCTGTGGCTTCGGTTTCACACTTTAAATTTAATACGCTTATGAACCAGAAGACATGATCTCGAATGCCTACCACAAATCATGCTCGAGTCTAAGACACCAATCGATTCGTTTCCTGTATACGAGGTACATATTATCACTTATGTATCTTGCAGATCGATCAGCCCCTTCCTGGATATACTACTGCGAGCCTCGCCTGAAATTTACCGCAATTTCAGCAGCCTAATAGGCCCGCTGGTAGACTCCACTCTTCCCATACCCTCGGCGATAGGCCCTGGCTGTGGTTCTGCGTCCACGCCGATCCCTGTAGCCAATGAAGTTGGAGGAGGCAGCGGTGGAGGGAGTACTGATGGTAATAAGTTCCACCATCCACGCCCACATCTTGGCCCCTCTAACATTCACACTTCCCCCGATCTTTTTAACAAGGCCAAACGCGGAGGTTAGCGATTTTATTGTCTTCTTTGCCCGAGTGAAGCGTTGGATGAAGCGGCTAAGCAAGGCAGCCCATTATTTTTGTCCGACAATGGTTTCTCGTTTAATTGTTTGCTTGGCTGCCCCTAATTCCTGGCGGAAGAGTCGATTCGGTTTGCTTTGTATCATTCCGCTTTGCTTGGTGCTTTTATACATAGATATTGTTTAGTTGGTGCTCATTATAGCTTTTCCTTGAGCGGACTTCTTGTATTGTGGCAAAGATGCATTGTGTAGTTAGCTTTGGTCCTAACAATCAACTTTTTTTTCATCACAGATGCACTCGCTCATTCTTCTGCCCTAAATTTGTCCGCTGTCAACCCGTCCGCAACCGGTCCCCCTACTGATCCTCGTCTTCGTCGGCATACACTAACTTCCTCCACCCCCAAAAATGGTGGGCCCCACTCTCCCCCCGTTCTTCCTCCCAAACCTCGGCCTCGCTCACCCTCTCCCGACGGTTGCGGTCGGTTTTCTCCGCCTCCCATCCCATATGTCGATCTTTCCTCGTCAGGCGTACTCTCCTCCGCTGACACTAAGTCGCAGACGCCCTCAACTAAGCCACAAAAGCAATCGGAGTCCAAGCTGCAGTCATCACCCCTCCCCTCTGCCGTCTCCCCTTCTGTTACGCCGATTCGAGAGAAACTTTCTGCGCTCCCAAACAACTTTGAAAGCTTCGCTTCTCCGGAGTACAGAATCGGTCCGAATTCTAGTGGCGACTCGGTTCAGCAAAGAATAGGTGGGTTATTTGCGTCGCGCCTCCGAAAATCCTGTCATTTTTGAATGCTCCCCCACGTCGCACCAAAACTGATGGAATACCCTAAATGGAAGTAACGGCTCTTGTTGTTGACATCGTATTTTCAAGTTGTTACGGTGGCATTTGTATGCATACAGCATCGTATAAATGAGAGTGCATTTTGACTTGACGGAGGATGATAACATGGTACCGCGTTTGTAATCGTCTGTTTATTGGGTGGCATCGATTGGTAAAATTGGGTTCTTGATAATTTTTTGTAAGCCCTGGGCGGCCTCTCTCATAAACACAGTTTTTTGCTGATGGAATTTGGAACCCTTGAAACGAAGTTTTATTTTACGACCCACCTGTCAATCTGTGTTGTTTTTTCTCAAAACAGGGCACAGAATAAATTTGTACACAATGGACGCTGCGGACGCACGTGACGGTTATGCTTTGGTTCTGTACTAATGGAAAAAAAATACTTATTGGTATCGCACGCTGTCGGGCATTGTCCTTTGTGTTTTGTGCTTTTTATAGATGATCTACGACGGAAGTTCCAGTTTTACCAGCTTCGCTACCTGTACAAGATGAAAACAGATGTGGATGTCAACGGGTTAATTGGTCAGTTTGATGGCCAGATTCGAGAGGATTTGGAGAATTTGGCGTCGGCTGCCAAAGCCGCGGGCATCTTTAGGGAAGCAGAGGCCGTCATCGAGGAGACGCCAGCTTCGACGCCCAATTCTTCTTCAACTGACGACGCAGGCAAGTTGCCCACCGACTGCGTGTTCTGTCCTGTTTGCTTTGTGCCACTTTGTCTTCATTTTTCAAACTTGGCTCCAGATTGACTAGGGTCTTTGAGTCATGTCTAAACACCGGTATCCGTTACATTTTTTGTTCTAACCCACACGAGGCCATAGGCGTTTGTTGGAACGACACAATGCTATCTTTTGTCAATCTAAAGCTTGTATTTTGTCCGGCTGTCATATGCATACATATGAATCACATTTCCTGCTAAATCCCTCTGAGAAAATCCTTTAATCGGATTTCTCGTTTGAGCGGGTTAAAATCACCTGATACCATTGGTTTTCTACAGCTCTGACGGATATGTGTGAGGCAATGCAGGGCCTCATAGACTCGGTTCTCGATGACGACTTTCCAGATGATCTGGCAGTTGCGGGTCGAATTGCCGACATCGTTTGCCAACTCTGTTTGCCCCTATTTGACGCTGCTGGAGGTGATTGGGGGAGCAATGGCGTTGCAAACCATCGCGCCTTGGCGACCCTCCTACCCTCGCATCTACCCATTACTCAAGAGTAAGTTCCACATGTAACTTCTCCGCGTGGCTTTAAAAGTTATCCGCTTGGAAGCCTCGAAGTGGCACAATCAATTTCAAGCCAGAATTAACCCACCTTTCATCCTCCCTTCTGAATAAGATGCTTTTCTTCAATGCTGTATTCTCCTCTTTCAAACGCTCATCATGTTTCTACGCTTTCACGTGAGGTGTCAGAAAAGGTGCCCTGTGCTCTGGGGCTTAAGGTGTGATTTTTGTGTGTGTCTAGGCAAATCGACGCCAGCCTGGCCTCTCCGGTGTTTGTTCCACTTCGAAATTTGTGTGAAATGAGTCGTGGCAATAACAAACGCGAGATCCTCCTGCTTCTACTCACGGAGATACAAATTCGGCAGCCTCGTATTGGCTATCATCTGTTGTACTTCCTAGCAGTCAGGTTAGTTGTCCATCTCCTCTTCGTGCTGTTTTTTATTCCAGAAAATCCGCTTTACATTTTAATCGAGGCAAAACTCGCAGGGTGATTTAGCGCTCGCGAAAGCGAATGCACACACGCTTATCTCTCTCTGGTAATGCATGAAGAACCAATTCTGTCACATAAAAAAGGGCTAGTCCATTTTGTACACCCCTCAGAGCTGCTTCACATGTTAAATATCTTTTAACCCTTTTTTGTGTTCTAATTCGCACCAAAGCCACTATATGGGGCCTTCGCCAAGTGTAGCACTAGATCGGATCTTACACGAATACTTCAATTGTGAGGTGTTGTGTGTGGAAATTCGGACCTCGCCATCAACCTTGTTGCAAACTGATTTTGACAAACTCGATGGTCAAGTCTAGCGCGCGGCCTGTGTACCATTGAGAATGCACACTTGGCAGGCGAGTGAGGGCGCTACAGTAGGCGGAGTTTGTGGGTGGCCTGTTCTCGAATCCTGTCGGTGTCTCTAGTCTTCTTAAATTTCTCTTCTATTTATCCTCCTGTACTAAATAACAATATCAAACATCGTTCTTTTGTATCGGGTTACATACTAGACCAATAACAGCGTTTGAAGGTTGCACGAAAGAGTTAAAGAATTGCGCAAAACTGTCTTTGTTATTGATATTTTGTACAGCAGGACAAATATACTAGAGAATGTAAAGTAGGTGATTGTAATTCAGAGGCCTAGGGATATGCTAATAAGCAGCTCGCGTCCAATTTAAAAAACCAGACTAGCATCATCTTATTAATCACCTGCAGTCACAGAACGCATGCTTTTAATTATTTTCACTTTTTTTTACTCTCCACCAACAAATTTTGCACCCCAAAACGCTTTCTGTTTTGACACAATCGTTGCTACTTTCTACTGATGAGGCTCACTGTTCATTGAGGCTAACCTTGAACACAGCAATCAACGTGTGTGTTATTCGACCTGCTTACCGAAAGTTTACTGATCAGGAATTTACGTCCATCTGATGCACTGCTCGCAAAGTGACAAAATGGCTGCCCATGTTTTTTTCCACATCTCTTCGCGTGCCGCCGCTTTCATCGCTAGTGATGGCGGCTGCAATTGCGATCAATGCAACTCCCGTTTTGCGTCTTTTTGATATGTCAATTCGGGTCTGTGGTCCTTGCAAATCGCTCCTTGAGTCGTCTTTCTAACACCTGTCCTCCCTCGTATAGCCAAGGCTGACAGCCGATACTTGGCTCGATAATTCAGAATGCGTGAATTGGTCAAGATTTCAACGCGTGTTGGAGCTTGTGCGAGTGAAAACATGTGCTCTCTGGCCAAACACACCTTCCCTGACCTGTTATCCTCATTCTTTAGCACTGTGAACGATGAAAAGATGATGGCATACCGAAGTTTTTGTGCAAGCCAGGAAAACCCTAATGTTGTCGCGTGTCTCCAGCGAGATATGCAAGTGAGTCAAGCTAGATGCCTATTAATGCCACCTCGCCTGAGACCGCTACATACCATCTGTTTGTTCTAAATCTTGTAGTTGCTCGCCGATGACAATCGTTTTCTCTTTTGCTATCTCCTTCCAACCGTTTGGAGTGTGGTGAGTTGGTACTTGAGGGGATTCTCTTTGTTGTCCTCTTTTTCCACTTTCCTAACCCATGCCAAATTCTCTGGTGTGAGGGGAATTTTTCTACTTTTACTTTTTTACTTATCATTCCTCTGTCAATAATACACTAAGCATGCTAATTTAGGTACTTCTGCTGGCTCACAATGTTTTTTTTATACAATAGTCGGGCCTCGTAGTTTAGACAAATCTCTGGCTGTATCTTATTTCTTTTCGATGTGAGTGTGGAAGCAATAGGGTCTTCAATTTTTACCCATCACCATTTGCCCCTTTCACAACCCAATTTACTACCAGTAAGTGGGGCTGACTTTTTTCTAATGATGTGGTGATTCACGTGAATCGCCGAAGCATGTTTGTTGGGGTCACTTGCAATCACCCTTATTTACGTGTGTTCTTGCCAGTTCTCTAACGATCTTGCCAACAACACGGACTTCATTCGCCTGATCGTCGGTAAAATAGATCCCAGTCAAGCCAACTACCTGGTTTGTGAAATCCTGCGTGGCCATCTTAACTTCTTCCACCGACCCAACATTACAGACGTGCTGAGTAAGTGCTTCTATTGACTTCCTGTTTGTTGCTTTGTCTGTGTGCGTGTGTGTGTGTGCGACGAAGACGTTCGCTCTCGCATTTATCAGTTAATGGAATTTACCTATTCGGTCGGATTTTAGAATGATATTTGACTGCGTTCAAGTGTAGGTTCGGAGAGAGTTGAGCCAAATCCTGAGGCATTTTCGGCCATTTTGTCCAAGCACCTAAACTCTCTCAAAAGTGAAGCAGTTTTTACCGCCGGTAGCTGTGAAAGTGACGGGGATTCAGATCTTCCCTTCATTCTAACTTTTAGAGGCAAGTTTGGATTGGACCTCCATGGAGCAATTCTTTTTTTGGCAGCTCGTCAACGCCCATGAATTGCCCACCAAGACGTTCCTTCCCCTCATCTCCCTCGTTGATGGACAAAAACATCCCGAAGCCTGCTCCCACCTCCTCCTTCTCTTGCAGCTTGAAAAGTACGTCCCGAAATGCACTCTTTGGCCCACAAATGTTTTGCAACTTTCAATAACACCATTTCGATGAGTAGGACAAGGTGTTTGCTACATTCCGGCCTAGAATAGTTCTTGTGCCTTAATCGGTATGATTGTATGCTGTTGCTGCTTAAGCAAGTCACATGCTCCATGTGTGCTGGAAACGCATTTCCGGTATTGAAGCGACTTACCTGCCAATTTGTTGTTTGCCACGGTGACGGATTTCATGGGCTGTTGTGGGTGATTTAATGGCATGAATGCAACGTTACAGCACTTTTACATACGTACGCGTCAATGCACCCCATGACATGTAAATAAGTTTGCGTTGTGTGGGGACACATATCTCGTTTCAGTGAACCTGTGATTTCGGTATTCCTGTCGAGATTGGTCGCGCGTCCTATTTTCGCCAAAAATCATAAATCAGCGCCAAATCTGTCAATCCAGCTGCTAAAGGCTGGGATGCAAGTCTGTTGTCCTTGTCAATGAGGGTTGTGTAATCACCTTTTTTGTAAAAAGGCCGACGAACGAAGTAGTTCGCCTCCTATTATCTCGCGGTATTTCTAATCTCAACTCCACGGCGACGTCAAGCACAACTGACGACCTCTTGTCTGTGACTGCATTGCACTACTGGGGTTGTCCGGGGCGGTTGAATGCTCAGAGGTTTGCTGAAATCCTCGGTTCCATGATCAACGCCACTGTAAGCGGTCTGCGGGCTGCACACGACGGCGAAGAGAGCGCCAGTGCTGCAAAGAAAAGAAATGGTGTAAAGTGAGTTGTTTTGTCCTTTTTTGCATAGCTGGCCCTCGGTGCGGTGCCAATGGAAGTATCCGTTTATCTCATCCTGGTCACATGACAACCTAGCTCAGAAACCTGTGTTACTTTCTCCTTTTATAGACATTTTATAAGCCCCTCCTTATCCTCGCTTGTATTAAATACATGAGCATTTCCCACCTTAATATGTATACACAATCAACTTAATCTTACACGCGCGTTCTGCACGAGGCGTGGCTGGCCGTGCGCGTTTGAAAGCCTTGAGAGCGAGGTTGGCTAATTGCCACACGTCCGTTGGATTTTAGCTTTTAATTCACGCACACGAAGACAACTTTATAAACGCGAGCCTGTCCGTTAGTTGCTCGACTTGGATCGCCACACGTACGCACACGAACGCCACTTTAGCGACTCCCTTCTTGGTACGCTACTAACCTGTAAATTTAGCACCGGTGAAAGGGAATTTTGTGTTTACATCGTCTTCAGTTTAGAATAAGTTAAAGGAATCTTTTCACATGGGTACCGCTACTTATGCGTGGTGCGACACACTATCCGTGACAGCGGCATGTGATTCGTGTGGTTGTTCAAAATTCCATACAGATCTAACAAAGTTTGTGTGGGCTTATGTGTGAGCGAAGTTTTGATTAATTTTCGTGCATGTGAACTGCCATCGGTTTTTCAGACAGCCGAGTAATGTCGACTTGATTTATTCCCCCCTCGGTCATCAACAAATGCATTTTCATTCGTCGCCTTAAATTGTGGGTTTCTTGATTTGAAACTAACTTGAATTAATGCTACCTAGAAAGCATATTTGTTATTTCTTGCGCCTTTTTCTTAATCCCAGAATGTACTGACGTATCGCATATCCCCAATCGATCTATTTAGGATGGATTAATGCACACCCAATTTGCCCCAGATTCAAAAAGCGTTTAAAGTTTCTTTTTTCTATAATGAAAACAAAGTCATTAAGAGCAAACAGTGTAGCCTCTTGGTTGGCTGAAACGACGCCTTTAAAAAAACATTCAATCACTTATTCATAACCCAAATTGAAAACCTCGATGGAGTTTAAGTTGCGGTATAGAGACTGCAGATGTTCATTTACAAGCCATTGGCAAGATGATTCGATGCGAAAAGTGCGTTCAGCGCCAACTCAAATTTGTAGACGTGGCGACGCGATATTTCATCACTTACTTTCCCATCCTCAACGTCATGCATACACATTTAAAGTCCTTTTCCACATAGGATTGAAATTTCTCTCGCTTAGATTACAGTAAAGGTTATAGGTTGAGACGGACTATGCAGATCCAAACGACTGCCAATCTCTAATTTAACGATAAAATCTTTACTGGGCTGTGGCTTAAGCGCTATTTCGTTCAATTTTTTGCTACGAATGCACCTCATTAATTGTTTAACCCTACTGCCCGTGGATCAATTTGACCACTTTTATCCTCGTATCCATTCGCCACCACCGGCAGTAACTAGGACCAGCTTTTATTGTGCGATAGTTGTGGTGGCTTTAATTGCTGTAATTGCATGATTTTGCTTTACTACGTCTGCTTACTTCTGTAGGAGTGGGAGCGGCTTAGAGCACCTCTCCTTACTGGTGTCCATTCTAACTCACCTGGACTGTATGCGGAGGAAATGCAGGAACATTGCAAGTGAGTTTTCTGTGTATGATGTTCTTTTCGGAGCCACAAACCTAACCGTCCGCTTCTGTTGCCAGTAATGGGGCATTAACATTTTGATCTTTCTTGCAGGAAAGAAGGCTGGAATTTGTTGGGGTAGGCTTGGTAGAATGCGTTAGAATCACTATCCCCTAATTTAATGCGTTTACCTAACACTATTCCCCGCTTTACACTCTCGCTTTGCACCTGCAGTTTTGTCGATTTCTTCTGATTTTCACACTTGCGTTTCTCCTGCGATGTTCACTTGTTACATAACCTTGGTGATCTTGCTGGCTCACTTGCTTTTGACCACCCTGTGCCGTGGATGTTGACTAATATCTTTATCCATGCCGAATTGACGTTCTACGGCACGGTCCTCTTTTTGGTTATTGCTTCTGAGAGTGATGCGGAGGCAATTGGATTTCTATGAACAGATTCTGCTCGTTGAAGCTTTTTGCGATCTGGCCGACTTGCGGTGAACATTTTTGTGTTTTAGTTTTGTTGCTTTGTCAGTAACGTGCGTTGACTTGTCCTCACTTGATTACAAATTGTTTGTTTGCAGCGTAGTTTCCTATCACCTCTCTATCCCATCAATTTGCAATGCTTGTCATGCCTTATTCGTGTCCGCTTGTCTTTCAGTGCTGGAAGCGGCTGAAATTCAGTCATCACTGCAACAAGTTATCCACTCGGCCGGTGTTCCAACTCATGTTAAGGATCGTTTTGCGGACCTGCTAAGTTTGGTTGAGGACGATTCCATTGACGTTCAACAGACGACAACCACAACTAGAGCGGGTGGAGTGACACGAAGTAGTCGTCAAGACGCCTCCGATCTTGTTGGTGGAGGATCATCGAAGGGAGGACATAGTCTGCGAAATCTTGACTCGAGACGTGCAGCAGAGGTGGATTGAAAATACCATAACTTAATATCCTTAATTATTTTTCATAGAACACCTTGCGAAATTCTATGTGTTGAAATTATTAGGTGTTTCGCGGTTTATGGTCTTAAAGTCATTTTGCATAACTAGTGATTAAAATTGGGATGGTAAGCTAACCATGACCGACTTTTGGAACCAGTTCATGGAAACTTGGGTATTCTTAGTCAAGCCCCAAGGATGATTTGTGTTTTGTTTTTCATGTAGGCGGAGCGTCGAAGGTCAGCAGTTACTTCTAGCAATATGAGAAGGAAACCTCGCCGAAAATCAGATGAGGATGGTGAAGACAGTGGTAGCAACTCCAGCAGCGATGAAGATGTTGGAAGTGATGGTGTGCTCGCTTTTGATGATTCTCTTGACCCTGCGGTCGACGATGAAGAGCAGGAAGATGGTGAAAGGGTCTCTTCCACTCCTGACGATAGTGACGAGAACTCCTCTGAATCCGTAATCGATGACGACGAAGAGCCTGTTAGTCGCGGAAAAAAGCGACCAGCGAGAGGGCGCACTACAGCCAATAAGAAGCAATCCCAGGTATCCTTAAAAAAGAAAGGCCCCTCAAAATCGCGAAAGACCGTTGTTATCGTCGAGTCGGATGAAGATGGTGAAGAGAGTGAGCCTGAAGATACTCCACGAGTTACTGGGGCACCGAAGCGACGGAAAATGGTGTCTAGACGGCTTCTTGATGACTAAGTTCTTTCATGTGTGCATGTGTACAGAGTATGCCTCTTCCTGTGTACAGTGCGTTTAAATACGCGATTACGGCGAAGTTATGTTTCATTTTGTAAACAATCTATCATTTTCTTTTGTTGAACCATGTTAGCCTCCATGTCATCGAGATTACAACTGCGCTGTCATTTTGTGTGCCTTGCCATTAGAATGGGAGAAAACTCCTTTCAATTTACCATTCGCAACAAAATCGATCTTAGTGAATCAGATGTCACAAGTGGCGTCATTAATGGGGCGGTTTCGTGATATTAATTCCTATGGGCGGTTCGAGTGTATTAGTATTGATTTCATTTCGTGTCACTACGTACTCATTGAGTGCTAAGACAGGGGAGACATGCTGTTAGCGACTGGCTTGGCGGTTGTGCGTCTTTATTAATATGACGAATCATAATTATATGTGGGATTGGATGATGGGGTAAATCATACTACTGGTGTTGAAAAACATCAGCAATCGTAAGTTTGGTATATTTAGTCGTTTGAAAACCTTTGGTTGTCTTGTTTCGTAATCCAATTTAAAAATACTTGCATATGAATAATATATTACGGAAATGAAGGTTTGACAATTTCCTAATTAGGCAGCTGTAGAACCAATGGACATGTCACCAGTGTTATTTTACCCCGAAGGCATATACATGTCATCCGCACTAGTATATGGCGTCGTTCCTTGAAATAGAGACTCTACCAATAGTTCCAGAGTCACCGTTGCTTTTGAAATGACCGGGCGTGATTTATAACTATGAACTAGAAATTGCTCATTCATAAAATAGACATCAATACATGTTTGCCATAATATTGATAATCAGGAATATCGGATTTTAATGTGTAATATTGCAAAATAATATGTTTAAAAAACATTTACTTAAAGTCCATTTTGCGTAATGATCCCTGACTTTCAAATGGAGACCTCAATGACATTTTTCGAAAAAGGGCCTTACCGGATTTTGCGCTTTAATTTCGAAAGATAGAGGATTTTAACTATGATTAGAGCCTTATAATATTTGAATTGCAGATGTGTTTAAATTGTTTTTGTTAACTGTTCAAAAAAATTGTTTAGGCGATTAGGATTTATTAGAGCCTAAGAGCTTTAGATATATTGGCAATGGTCGAAATAGTTTAACACTTGCACTGGTTTTAAATTCTAATTCCAGTAAGATTTTATTTTGCTTTTCGTTGAGTAACGATGCATTAACTAGCTAATGCAATGAAATGAATACACACAATACTTCAAGTAAAACCTATACATGAAATTCTTGAATTCAAAATATGTATTTGGGACGATATTTATCACAGAAATCTCATCTATTAAGGCGCAAAAGCTCTCAAACAAACTAAAATAGTCACAATTTTTTTAAAATGCGAAAATCAAGTCCAGGTCACAATAATCGTGGACTAAGTAAGAAATAATTACCTAAAATGGCATTAATTTGATGCATTTGCTGACGCCAAGTACTCAGCTTTACACATAAGTTACTTTGCTAGGCATTGACTTGTCAAATGAACGGGTCAAAGTAGTGAATGCAACAGATAATTTAAAGTCTGTTTTTGCAACAAAATTTTTAATTGTTTAAATTGTTTTGGTCTGGACGCCCTTTCTTCTAAAATTCGACAGCCAATTGGATACGAGTGTCTGCCTTGTGCTTTTTTGCACTTACTTGCCGAAACCTGTTGTTTGATTGTGTTTACTGGTTCATCCTTTCCACATGAATTTTTCAATATGCTTCTTCGCTTTACATACATAAGGAATTGACGTCGCTCGTTGTTGTATAATATCGTCATTTTGCATCATGCTTCATCCCCACACTGGCTTTTCCAGTCAGACTCCAAGTTCAGGTGCTCGTGAAATTGGAGGTCGAATTATTCACCGGCCCATTCCAGTTGGGGCTTTCTCGTCACGTCCTCCTGGTGGTATCCCACAGTCTTATAACGTCCCTCTAAAGGCTTCTGCTCAAATTGATTCGACGCCTCTCAGTCACTGGTTTCATGGTAGCATTAGTCGCGAGGAAACTGAGTGCCTCTTGAAACACAGTGGTGTAAACGGAACTTTCCTTATTCGCTACAGCACTTCGACCCAAAAGTACGTACTAAGCGTCATTCACAATCAACAGCTTTATCATTATCCAATCGAAGAGCTCCTGGATGGTTTTTATCAGGTTAGTGTTTTTTTGGAGCCTAACTCAGGCTTAGGTAGTTTAGTTTCTAGCTTTTCAGTCGATCAAAAATACGTAATATGTTTGATGAGGATTTTTGGGTCGTACCAGTTATTTTACACTTCCCAAATCTTCCATTTTTCTTTGTAATGTTGTATCAGCCGTCTAAACACCTCTTATTCGTTCTCCACATTTTTTTACTCTGAGGCCCGCATTGTCTTGCGTAGATTAAGCATGCCATAACTTTTTACGACTACTCTTCATGGAATTCAACTTTACTCCTTAGATAATTCAAATATTGGTGAAATCCATTCAATTTTTTTCATTTGAACAAAAAATCCTATATGCGGTCTTACGTGTGCGCTCCCAATGACGGCTTACGTTATAATTCCTTGCTTCCTACATCGCATCATTTCAGCAACAATATTTTAAGCCCCTTAGTCTCGTACTATTCTGTCTAAACAGTTGTTGGTATATAACTTATGGCATATGAATTCTTTGTTCTTTTTAACGGGTCAGTTTAATACTAAGGAGAAATTCCTCATCAATTTCATTTTCGCCTTAAGCGATAACAACTCATATACGATGTGTTGTGGTATTTGGTGTCTGACTCACAAAAGTGGTTTAACCAACATGATTCTTATTATTTTCTTCCCGTAAGGTTAACGGAACAAACGCCAAATACCTGGGAATTGATCTCCTTGTGTCAGAGTTCCGTCGAGCGAATAACTGTATAGTATGTTCACTGAGCAAACCCGTGCTAGGTGTCAAACCACCTCCTCACATAACCGTCTATGGCTCCACTAATGAACTACACCATGCCGTGCGAAAGGGGAATCTCAAGGTTTGTTTTTTTTGCGTGTGCCCTACTCATAACTCAGTGCATTTTGTGTAAACTGTCCGTCATGTACACCAACTGGAAAATATTCTCACAGGGACAATTACATTTTTTCGAGCATCTAATAGGATCCTTTACGTACTTCTGATATACAGTCTTAATGGTTTCCAGTGTCTTGTTAGGCAGTTAGGTTATTTTTACATCCCAGAATTTAAAAAAAGTTGTGGTCAGTAATATTGTCATGTAATTAAGTGGAATATATTTAGGGCAGCTTTGACATAGCGTTTCCTCCGTTTCTTCGTTCGTGGTCTAGTTGGGAAAAGGCGACAATTCAGCGTAATGTCAAGGCAGCAAATATTTCTATTCCATTTTTTACTAAAGAGTGCAAATATTTTGATTAGTTTTTTTTCAAATATTGCTTTTGCCTACGTTTGGCCCACATTTACACTGACGCTTGCTCTGCTACTTTACCTTCAAGGGTGTTCGTGACCTCCTTAACCGCGTGGCCTCAACAAATGTGAGTCTCAGTGAATATGTCAACGAAAAGTCGGCAGACAGTGGAGCCACGCCGCTCATCGAAGCCGCTAAAACGGGCTCAAATGACATTGTTCGGGTAAGTGGGTAGTTAAATCCTCATCTACTCATTTCTCTTGCTTGGTTCCATTTCTGGAAGATCCTCACTGATATGTGCTAACGAAGAGCAAACCCATGCGTAACGTTCTGCCCTGCAACACATCAAGCAATTGCAGTAAAGCACAAGGGAGTTTGCCCCTAGTTAAATTGTAATGCTAGCAATTTGCCCAAAACGCCGAGTATGCATAGTGGTACTTGAAGATGTGGATTGAATATAAGGACTCGAGCAGGTCTGAAGTGTTTCGGTTTTTTCAATTGAATGCTGAACATGCAGTGTTTGTGATCCCAGGCCTGTTTTAATTCTACCTCATATGACTCGTGATAAACAATGCTTCAGAACTTTCTAGACGGCTAAGACATTTTCTCAAAAAGTTGGCTCGTTAATTACATACACCTAAGTGTAGTGTGGTTGGGATCTCGGTTACTCTATTTTCGCCCTACTTCGGCTGTAAGACGTAAACTCCGATTTCTCTTCGAATCCCATGTGTTTTATTGTGAAGCCTTTTCATGATTAATGCAGGCTGTTTATTCACCAATATTTCTACACGCATCAACGCAAAATCACCTGTAAAGGTCTGATAAAAAAATACTAAGAAAGTGACCGAAATTTGATACTGTACTCCTCGAAAGTGTGCTGTTTTACAGCTTTGTTTTTACTCATTCGTTAAAAGGACGGTTGTGTGCTTGCATTTCGATCGTTTAACGTTTTTTCTGGCAAATGGACTATCCCTAAGTGTAGTCGTGTTCGTATGCGTTTTCAGGCAACCGGTTGAACGTTAATTTATGCACGAAGTGACACCCCAGTTTGGCCTCATGGCCTTTCACGACTTGTTAGTGCCTATCGTTTACGCTCAAGTGTGTAAAGCCCACGGTTGCATTAAAACCGCTTGGACCGTTCGAAGGACCCTGCGATCTCTAATGTCTGACATTTTAACCCAAGTTGACCTTTTCAAGATTTCACGGAACCTACTATTTTGGCAGATTAGTCGATATAAATGTGGACGCGTTATTTTCGAGGTTTATCAAGCTGGCATTAGGAAATAATAGAATTCGGGGTTTTTCGGTTGATACCCTCGGCTGTTTGAGTCAATATCGATTAATTCTTGCCCTATAGTGACAAGTACGTCGAATGAGTAAGTTATTTCCCCGTGTAGCATTTAATGTGTTCTAGTTTTAACCCCTAATGTTAAAAAAGTTTGCTTTGTTGTGTTGGTTTTCGATCTTAACACATAATATAACAGCTGATTTGTCGTTCAACATGCTATCTGGTTTTGGTGTCACTGGTGCTTACATTTTAAGTAGCTTAGCTCCAGTGTGCCACTGAACTCTAATTTTAAGGCATTTGGTGTTGTTTCTACTTAATTTGCCCTGTTTGGTCCAATTTATCGTAGATAAGTTGCGCTTTTTGCTAATTCCTAGTTGCCAAATGGAACCTAACTGAAAGTCTAAAAATAGCAGGAGTTTATCAGTCTTGAGAAATTGGCAGTGATCAGAATGTGCAGGTAAAATTGGTGAAACTGCCATACAACAATGGTTGAAGATAGCTGTGTTTGACTGTACATTTACGCATTGAAGTGTTTGTTAGCTGAAGACATGGCTATCCTTTGCACTTGCTAGCACAAACGATACACCAAACAGCATTTTTTTGGAATTGAACTTCCTGTTGGTCCAACTTCAACGTAAACAGCACACACCTGGTGCATCTTCGGCCGAGTTCTGTTGTAGTTCCTGGAACACTACAACACGTGGAGTATGCAGTCATAGTGCCACGTCAATGCGACTGCTAATTTTGAACTTGAGGTAGAAAGACGTATAGGGATGCAACGGACGCGATTTAATTTCTTTTTTTCTTTCGGAGGTGGTGGGTGAAGCGGGCAAATTGCAAAAAATTTCGATTCGTCCACTTCAGCTGCTTAGATAACAGTTGTCCAGGTTAAGTTAGCTGTCAGTTCAGATATTGAAAAACAAGTTGAAAGATCGGATGTTATGAAAACGACAGCGCTCGCTTAGAATGCCATTCTTGAGTCATACTGCAAGACAAGCAAGGGCGACACTAAAGGCATACAAAATGTTAAGTGCTATTTACGATTCAACATCGTTTTCCTCAAACACAGAGAAAAGTTAATTGTGAATTAAAATCGGTTTCATATTAGGTAAGGGTTTTTAAATCTTAGTAATAAGATCTCTTGCGGTTAATAAGTTACCGCCAAATGCAAACAAATGGGTTAAATATAACCACCACGCTGAATTAATTCATTACGTTTTCAATGACCGTTTTTCAACGTCGCTTTTTTGCAATTAAAGCCATTTTGCTAAAATGTTTTTTCCCCTTTTTCCACTATTTTTGTAACATTTTTGTAACATTTTGTCTTCACCCTCACCTCAGTATTTTGCAAAGCAATACCTGCGCCTTTATTCCGTTACTGTGAAATAAACAAAGGTGTGTTTTTTGGAAGCAGGTATATTTCGTAATAACTTTCATTTACTCAACCTCGTAGACGCCGTTTTTTTCTCCTTGCTACTTAAACACCAAAGAATGTAAAAATGATTTGATGTTTTGGTCAGGCATCTTTGTGAAAATCTGTTTCATTAGCTTAACCAATGTTCATCCATAGACTTGAGAGGAATGTTAATTTTGTGGATTTTCAAATCAAGAATATCTTAAAATTTGTGGACAACTATTTTGCGTTGCATCAGTGGTTCAGTCAAATCTAATTTGAGTTTAAAAAACCGTTTGAATGTCTAGTTTTAGAAATCAGCCACATTAACCCTCTAATGCCTATGCGCTAATCGCCCAGGTGCTTACATGTTATATTTAATTGATTATTAGGAGCCGTTTCGTTCAGCTTGTACCCAAGTGGCAAAGCGGTATTAAAATGTGTCTTCATTATGGATGGATTGACTCTGTTTATGAGGGCACTTGCAGCAGCTGTAGGTTTGTCTGAATCACAATGCTTTTCCAGTAGAGCGTATTCGGCCTTTCCTATTGGAGTCCTTCAAGGTCAGAAAAAACCTATTTAAACGCACGATCCCTTGGGCTACTTTAGCTGCTGCTTGACCAGGGTGCGCAAGTGAACCTCCGTGATTGTGGTGGCTTCACGGCCCTCCACCGAGCCTGCCAAAAGTCCTTCGCCCACGTGGCCGAGACCCTGCTGCGGTTGGGCCGGGCCAATCCCCAAATCAAGTGTCCGTTCTCCGGCAACACGGCTCTTCACGAGGCCGCGATGCTGGGCCACGCGGACTGCGTCAACTGCCTCCTCGAGTTCCACGCGGCGCCGTGGGCACGTAACGCGGAGCTGGAGATGCCCTTCGAACTAGCCCTCCGCTACGGCTTCGCTGAGCTGGCCAATGCCCTCGCAGGCTACCAACCTGCTGCCCCATTGACCTCTCAAGTAAATAATCTGCACTTTGGTGTTTGCGCCAAGCTTCTTTCGCAAGTGATTTGGTTCTTTTGAAAGCTATAACTCGATCCGCTTGACTACTTTTGGCTTATCTGGCGAGAATACACGAACTCTCCCACCTTTCTTCGCCGTTCTCGATTGTAATCATCGATTTTCGGTTTTTTGGCTCTCAGTAGTTCGAATTTCGTGGTTACCTTTATAAAGGTTAACTTGTTAATGTCGAAGTACTCAATGCCTTTTGGAAATTCTAAACTGTACTATCCGAGCACCTCTCTTTTGACATTATTGGAAGATATTCTCTCGACTGTTTCCCGATTTTTTTGTATTCGCTCACTAACTCAAGTTACCTCGGTACCTAAGATGTCTAGTGTGGTAGGTTCGGTTCGTTATTTCAGTGCATCCGTTCGTTCGCACTGATCTCACATCTTCCACATTGCGATGAGAATCTCTTGTCCTACTTTCTGGCCGGTGACGTCGGCTATTTAGTGCTATCCGTTTCACTCAATTCGTTGGGTCTTTACATTTGTCGCATGACTTGAGGCAACTGTACCGTTGTGGCGATTCGTGTAGCGTGTCGGGCATTGTTGTGCTGGAGACCCATTGGGTCCCTTTTGCTGAATTGCGGCGCAGTGAAGCACTTGCAGTACTACTTCACACAACTCCTTGACTTGCGAAGACGACGATATTGCCTCACTTGCAGCGTATCTTTCTCGTTTCTGTCCACTCATTCCCTCCAATTCTCGTCGACACTCACGGCACGCGACAACAAGCTCAATTTATGTCCCTGAGTCCCCCTTGTACCTAGCAAAGGAATCTGCATCAACTATGAAGGACTCATGTTTATGGTTCTCTGCTAACACTAGCGGCCTCTATTTTGAACTTGTCCACTAAGTCTAAGTGGTGACAAATGGAGTAAATTCGATGCAGTGGGGCTTGACAAGCTACTAATGTCACTATCTTCTGCACTGATGTTTTTATCCTAATTAAAGAGACTGCTTATAACAACATCATAGCTACCTACTGTCACGTCAATGCGTTAGCCAGCCAACTCTGGGTAAGAGTCTAGCGTCGATGTCATCTCGTCTTGATTGGCCTCAAATGTTGTCCCATTGACTCTTCTCTGGCAAGTAGCATATTGGAACCTCCTGTTACACTTACCTAGACATGTTTATTTACTGCTCTAAACATTTGCCTCTTTGTAACGTAATTCAGAAAGGAACTGCAGCGAGCATCTTTTATACTCGTTACCAATAGGCGACTATTTGGCTGAATCCTTGGACTGCGCTTGAACCGGTGGTAAAACATGAAGTGTTCAATGTGGTGCCTTCTTTTTGCAGCCCGACTGGTTCCACCCCTCCCTCTCGAAAGGCGAGACGGAGCGTGTTTTTGCCTCGAGTTCGGCGATGCAGGATGGCGCCTTTTTGGTTCGACGGTCCTCCCAGTCGGAGCGAAAGTTTGTCCTCGTTCTCTACTACCAGCGACAGAGCCTCAAGTACCAAATCGAGGTGGTTGACTTCTCCTTCCACGTGGACACCAAGGAGGCCTACTTCATCGATAAGGTGAGTTTTTGTTCTTTGTACGGCAGATGTGCGCAATCCGACGTTTGATGCCTCTTATTTCCTCTTTCGGTGCCACAGGTGTTCACACACTCCCTCTTTATTCCATCCTTATTAGTAACTTGAAAACGTTCCGGTTGAATCGTGCTTGCGTCATGTTCTGCTGGGTTATGGCATTTGTTATTCCACTTTAAACGATGGCTTTAATATGCTGTGTGCTGTGTGAATTCGACTGTTTATACCTACCACTAGCAGCATTGTAGAAGTTACTGAACAACAGAAATTCACCTAGTGCCCATAAAGATTGATGAAACGGCCATAAAAAAGGAATGAGGAAGAGCTATCTTTGATGGAAGGGATCATGTGCGGTCGCGCTTAGGCACTGAAACATTTGTTAACCGGCACCACAAATGCCTCATGCACTTTTTAGCACAAACCGTACACCAGCAGGTTTTTTTTAATTTGCACTCGCTGTTGCTCCACCATTAACATAAACAGCACACATTTGGTGTTGTCTTGAGCCGAGCACATTTGTAACTCCCGACAAATACCGGTTTTGAAATTGAGCTGCCAATTGTGACGTCCACATTGCAAGTTTGACTTTCCCGAGATGGTGTATTGTAGAAACGTGTGGAGCAGGGACCTTTTGAACTCGGACCATCCTGTTTGCTCCTTAGATGGTTATGCGGTGGATGTGATTGTTCAGCATAAGTCAATGTAAAGCCTGGTGAGGTATTAAAAATCAGTCATAACGAAAAAGCCGGCGCTTTCACTGAAGCCGCAGCGCAAGTTTTTCAAGGAGAACCTAGAAGGTCTAAACAGTGCATACTGGCGTACACGTTCTGGTGTGATGAGTCTTGCTGTGCTAGACATGCATCAATCCGTGTGAATTTTTTAATTATTGGTATGAATTTGGGCTTTTAATTAAAATTGACCCTCCTGCGAATCAGATGCGACCTTCATTTGCCCTCAAAAACGGCAAATTTGCAGATGGACGTTCAGAGTATGATTAAAATTGGTCTTTGATGCGGTTTGAGGGTTTGTGTTGAATGCAGGTGCTTTTTTCTGTGTTTTGATTCTTAAATTTTTTTCTGAACGACGTGGGCTGTGCAACCCGGATTTACTTTTAGTGAGGCTTTCTGTCGTATGTTTTGTAGAACTTTAATAAATCCTCACTTAATCGTCTTTTCCTAACATCCGGCAATCCCCGTGGTTTTGGGGCATGGATGGACAATCATTCTATTGTTTTAACCATCAGGCTGTGCAGCGCTAGAAAGAGGATAGAATTTGTCCATTATCTTGACTTCATCTAACCGCAGTTGCCTTCGATTACCCGCTCGACACCCTTTAGGGCTGGTATTTTTTAACCGCTAGTTTGGTACAGTAATTAGTGTTTCCTTGCGGTTCCTTGTGAAATTTTTTTCAAACTATAACTCCATTTAACCATGTGGTCGCAGAACCCTACAATTGTTACTTCGGTCGACAGTGTACCGTATTCTGTGGAGCGAATGTGAACTGCCCCCACATATTTGTTTACCCCTGATTTTCCATTGTTGGGGAGCGTCTTCCCGAATTGTCAGGCGTCATTTCGTGTCTGTGTGTTTGTGCGCGCGCTACTAATCGTCTGATTTGCCTGCTGCGTTGTTGCAGGAAATGTCATTTGCCTGATTCCCAACTGCCTTCGTCACAGGGTCATTCTGCGATGCATCTGGTGGCGCTGTGTGCCACACCTTGTGTGTCTATCGAACGGGGCAACCACCCCAGACCATGTTATTTCTAAACTTAAATTCGTGGAAGTAATTTGTGCACACACCTTCCACAATCGCTAAACAGCTCCTGCAGGGTTCCGGTGGTCTCCTTTTGCTACTTCGACGTCCTGCAATTCACGAATCGTCGACCTACTTTTCCTCCTCACATGATCCTTTTAAGGATGGTCGCAAAGCTAGTTTCGCCGGATTCAAGTTCCTCTATATAGATAAGGTTTTTTGGAATCAGCGTATGCCATATTTATGTGCCCATAAGAAAGCCACACTCGTTTTTCGGTGACATTTCCACTTTTAGCCCAGCCTTTGCAAGTACCTCACACTAGTGGACGTTCCCGCAATGGCTTAATTGTGTAACTTTGGGGTGGCATTCTGCGGCTTGTGATTTTACAGTGGTTTTCACCTTCCCCGTAAACCTTGAGGTCATGATCCATGTGTGCGGTCCAGGCGACCCTGTTTCAGTTGATCAGAAGGGCTCATTGAGCGTGCAGTTGTGTTTCGCCAAGTGGCTTGTCAAATGTTGCTCGCTGTCAGTTTCAATAGCGATTATTTGCGAGGTCTCGGTTCTGAGCAAACCTTCCCTTGTTCAAACCACTTCTTTCAAATGCCAATTTACTCTAAAGCCGATGCGATGCACTTAGGTTGCTGAAGGCACGCTATGCACTGTCGAGGTCTAAGTCCTCACCTGTTCTAATGCTTTTAGCTATTTTCGATAGTGAATTGAACAACTGATTAATTGCTAAACTACCAGATCGCCTGTTCTCGCGTTCCGTTCATAACTAGCGTTTCAAACGGCCCGTCTAACCTTATTGTTCTGCACCACCTCCTGTTTATGTCCGTAATATTAGGTGTGCACACTCGCATGCGCCTGTGGTGGCTAGAGATTAAGCACTACCTTACAACCCTCTAATTAACAGCCCGTTAAACAACCCTCTAATTAACAGCCCGTTAAAACCCGAGGATAGGGGAAAAGGAGGCGACAGAGAACATGACCGTTTATTTGTGTCAAACCAGCCAAGTGGCTTTGTGTGCGTATGAGTACGCGTGCGTAACAGGCGAATGCTGACAGAGGCCAATAACAAAAGGGGTGAGTCACTGGTCCACTCGGGCCCTCATGCACGTATCACTCCTAGAGTGCCACCTGTGAAACGGTCAACGCACGACAGTTACTGAACTGATCAGTAAAGCCGACAACGGGTCTCAGGGGTCGATCGGATCTCCCCTTGGGTTCACTTGGCTGGTGGAAACGGGAAGTGGTGCGCTGTCGTCGTTCAGGCTGTCTATATTTTTTATCCAATCTCAATGGGTGGTTGGCTACCTGTTAGCTGCTACGCCAGAGGAGATAGTTAGAAAGTTTTAGTCCACGTATATGCCGAAATGTTCCTCAATCTAACTCCATTGAACCATGTGGTCGCAGAGCCCTACAATTGTTACTTCGGTCGACAGTGTACCGTATTCTGTGGAGCGAATGTGAACTGCCCCACTTGTTTACCGTTGATTTCCCATTGTTGGGAAGCGTCTTCTCGAATTGTGAGGCGTCATTTCGCGTCTGTATGTGTGTGTGCGTGTGTGTGTGCTACTAATCGTCTGATTTGCCTGCTGCGTTGTTGCAGGAAATGTCATTTGCCTGATTCCCAACTGTCTTCGTCACAGAGCCGTTCTGCGATGCATCTGGTGGCGCTGTGTACCACTCCTTGTGTGTCTATCGAACGGGACAACCACCCCAGACCATGTTATTTCTCACATCGTGGTTGTCTAAAGGCTCGCGTTGACTTGCACGTGTGGCGTAGTGTTGGGATTAGGTAGTAAATGCCCGCGGGCACGCACACAATGCATCATTCCCATCAGGCGATGCAGGAGACAAAACTACAGTGCTGAATCAGTCCGTGCTGTCAGCACCTGCCAATTCTCACCCCCCTCCCTCATCACCGCACCGTAAGGGGGGTCGTGTGTATGCAGTCGAGGGCTGTCTGGTTAAATGCACGGGCCGTGTCACCACTCCTACCTGGAGGGACCAGGGTTAACGCTCGCATCCCACACACTGCCGCTACATGGTATTTGTGGCTATTACGTTTAGTTTCTATTGTCTGGCTTTTTATTGCGCTATCCAAGTGAAACGCTGTTAATCGTGAATCAGTATCTGTAGACTCTAATACTTCCTCCTTCGATCATAAGTTGTAGCATCTCAGGCATCATCATTTCGATGTCTCGTGGTGGTTTTTACGGGGTTTAGGAACATAAACAGGCATATAGTGTTTAAAAACCAAGTCAAATTGATGTAGTTTAGTGTTCCTCTGACTTCGAGTCACAATGGGTAATTTAACTAAGTAATGTTGCCTTGAAAAATGTGCATTGTGTATTCGTTTTAAATGGGCTAGCTTCTGGAAACAGGTTTTTTTCCTCTGTACGAAATCTTGCATTATCTCAATAGATGAGGGATAATGGGCATTCTGGTTATTGTTGTGTCCACATGGGTACTTTTCCTGTTTTCTATTCAGACCTTAGAAGCGACTAGTGAACGGAGGCCCTTTTTGTCAACCGAGCAGCAACCATCACATAAAGCTGATTTGTGTGTGTGTGTGTGTTTGTGCTGAGTGTCCATCGCGATTGATCCCTAGACATAACACTAATACCAATTGTTCGCACTTGGGTGTTGCGTAGTCATGAGGGACGACAAACTGCAGGCATGAAATTGTTGTGGGCCCCAGCATGAGGACGTAAACCACGCCGGGGCCACAGAATTCACCTTGGCCCGATTACGCTTGCCTGATACCCGCGATGAAGAAGACAGGAGCGGACGTGGACACAACCGTTTACTTCAGAGCTCAAACACGTTGGTGTCGTGTCGTGTGTGGGGTTTGCGCGTGTGTATTTATAGCTCGGATGTGCGAGTCATAGATGAGCTAACATCGAGGCCTATGTGAGGGGATACTCCAAGATAAATATTCGTGCTAATGAAGGGGGAGTTAAGGATTCGCGAGGCTGGCGACATGCTGAGACAAGAGAAACCCTGCGTAGGAGGTGGAGCGACCGGATTAAGAGGTTGAATAAGCAGGATTCACAACAGGACAAAATCTTTGTTCCCTCTGCCAACAATCTGAGTCACTTATTGTAGCGAGAGTTGTTGTGGCGATTATGTCGAGCCGGTGACCACCTCGGACTCACCAGTTGAAGGGGCTTTAAACTCACTCCGGGGCCACCACTTTGTGAATATGCAAACCAGAGTTGACGGGAGCACATCTGTTTACCAGATTGCCCAACTTAGCTTGTCGTGCCATTTTACTAGGCCACGTAGGCGTCCGCAGGGGAATTTTGCACGCGGCTGCGTGCTCAAACGTGGCCATATAACACTGAAACTGTGAGACAGATGTGGGACAACAGACAAGCGGAGAGGGGAGTTGCCCCAGTGCCTGGATCTGTTTCTCGATGTGTTTGGGGACGTGAATTGACAATTCACCACAGGGTGTTCATGTTGCAAAAGCATCAGTTTCCGGAAGAGCTGCGAAAATGCCACCAACACCAAGCCCAGAAGTGCACTTTTTTCGGACATGTCTGTTTTTTTTAGCAATGGCTTAATCGGGGCGATTTCGTCTACACACTTAGCGCTGTTGCACTCCTCGGAACCACCAATTATCCTCCTACATAGGTGAAGCGATAAACTGTAAGCATGTCGAACTTCTCTTTTCAGCTGTATCTACTAAAACACATCTTAAAAGCCCTGAGATCCGCAATTTTATCTAATAACCAATACACCCCAAATTGGATTCGTTACATGTGTGGTTGAATGTGTTGAGAGAGAAAACGCAAATTTTGTAGTCATCCCTTAGTGTAAGGAATCTGCCTTTGGCGTATTCTTTGAAATTAAATTAGAATTAAACGATGTTGCATGATATAAAAAATCGCTGTTCCCTGCTTCCTCACCAAAGTTCTTGAAAACTACGTGAATGGGCTAATTTTTGGTGAAGGTTGAAGTTTTCATGGTGTGAGTGCCCGCTTTCTGTGTTTCCTTTACTCTTTCCTTGTAGCCCCACACGGTAGCAGTGTCCTAGTTTTTGGAAAAAAATGTAACTTTTATCTTTGGTTGTGTTTGCTTAAAGCAACACATAATTACCGACTGAACTCAACCTAGTCCAACTTAAAATTGCCGCCTCTAGTGGCTTTGTACTCTGGTCCTTTGACATATTCAATACCTTCGAGTGTACTAGTTTTAGATGCGTGGTCTCCATTTCCTCCTGCTGTCTCTGCAAATTATCCAATTTGTCTATGCCTTGTTGACATGAATTCATTGGTGTCTTTGAGTTTGTGGTTGGGTTGCAGCCTTATCTGTGAATGGAACGATTCTGGGTGCTGTTTGAGTTCTGTGTTTTACGCCAACTCATTTTGAACCAATGGTGACTCACCACCGCCAACAGGCTCAGCCATATTTTTTTTGCAATTTGGGATCTGGGAGTTCTCTGGCAAATGACTTGCGGTGAAAGTGTGTCTCGTTCCTACAGATATTCATCTGGAATCATCGGTACCCTATTTTATTGTTAATTTATTCAGAGATCAAAAAGTGTATCCTGGGTAATTTCCACGCCAACCAAACAGAACAAAGGTAACCCTTATGAGTCAAGTGCGTAACCTGTGGTAATTAAAATACCACCATTATATCCCCGTTTTATTTTACTGTGGATTGAGTAATTGCAATTTCTTGTCCTTATTTCCTGTGTGTTTCAAGTTTAATCGTAACTTATCTTCATCACCTACGTCCACCAATCATTGCAGGGTCCATTCCATCTGTCCTTGGAGCACTTTATTGAGCACTACAGTCGCTTCGCTGACGGCATACCAACCCGACTGCGCTACGCCGTCTCGCCCTCCGGTCGAGTGCTCAACATGGAACGCCTTCTTTCCTCGTCCTCTTCTGCAGTCACTGGTCGGGAACTCGTCAAGGTCGTTTCCGGAGGCGACCGAAATTCCAGTGGCGAGGCATGGGCCCTCGGTCCCTCTCCTGCCGGAATAGTGGGTCGCCGTGGGGCACCCCTGGTTATGCAGGGTCACGCTTTCGTTAGCGGGCGTCCCAAATCTCAGTCTGCGGTGAGTTTGTTCACACGCTACTTTCCTTTACAAGTCGAAAATCACTTTGTCTTCTATTGAGGTTGCTTTGACAAAATCACTGTGTCTACTAATACCGCAGGACTACTAAGGGGTGTTTGGTTAACTTATCTCGCAATTGTTTATCCAAATGTCTGAGGACTCGTTTTTACTTTCGTGAATTTTCCGTTGTGGCTTCGTCTTTTGCAGTAAACTCCCCAATTCGCGCATTGTGGCAGAACCGACAATATTTCCAACCATCACTCCATTCACTATTGGCTTCGCATAAATACATCCACCATCTACTGAGTAACATCGTGGGAATGAAACTGCTCTTCTCCCAACTCCTTTCTCCGAAAAAGAGCATCATTATTCTTCATTTAATGAACTTCAAATAAGTGTTGTGTTGTTGTGTGACCGGAGCCTAAATTCCCATTGCGTTGGCTTACCAATCGGCTACTCAATAGGCACGACAATGATCAAAATTTCACCGTTTTCAAGGCATTCTCCAGTCGTTTTAACCCCTCGTCTCCACGGTTAACTGCAATTAGCTATTTGCGCTCGCGTATGACACATCGGCGGGTGCTGGTGCTAGAATTTATCGCCACCGGCACAGGACTGTGTCATGCGAGTGTTTTTGCGCTGTGAGATGGCGGCAACCGGATCAGCCACTCACCCGGATGTTTGGTCAGCTGTGACGTCGATACGGTTTTCGCCTCGCCACTACTGTGCCTTTGGCTTGGGCCACACTTCACGGTGGTTATTTTTTTCGGACGTGATAGTACAGAAGAACTCTAGGCTACGATTTCTGACAATGCGATTGTCGCTCCTGCATATAGCAGGTTTGAACTCTAACAATTGTTTGAAGGACAAGCTTCTTCTTCGCTTTGTAGGGTTGCCTTTTAGGGCATGCGTTGGAACCGCAGTTGGCTACGTTCAATTTGCTTGATTTTATTACTTTACTTTAGACCAGATGGTACTAATATGAGGTCGCCTCGCATACGTAAACCTAAGATTACGTCTGATTTTGGTTAAGTAATAAGATGGAACAGTCACTGTACTGTTTTTTTAAGGCTTAGGTCAACTTGGCTGTGGGTGTGTTGGCCCTATGTATGTCCGAAGGTTCTTAGTTTTCATGCCTTCATGCTGCACCAAAAAGCAACAGCTTCATTCACAGCTATGTTTGACTATTTGCACGAGAATTTGACGTTGTTGTGTTGAATCAGTTTGTATAAAAATGCAAATGGTTATTTAAGCCTAACTCCGCAACACCGATGTGAATTCATCGCGGTCTGATTTGGCTGCATTGTTATTCCATAACCAAGTCTGTTTGGTTTTGTCAACTTGACTCGATTTCCATTCCATGACAATCCTTCGGTTTGGTTTTTTAGTAAGCACTGAAGTCACTTTTATGGTAATCAAGTGTGTTTTTGGCTTTTGGTAATCCTCAACGCCAAATTGCCCATTGTTTTATTATTCTCCGCGACTTGGGCAAACTATACTCAACGGACTCCGATTCTGTCCCTTTTGTAGACATATTCCCTCAACAAGTCATAATGTGCTGGCGTTTGTTGGGGATGTTTGAATGTCCGATGTAGACGTTTTCTTCATTTTTTTTACTGGAGGTATGCCGTTGTCACCCTCGGCCTTTTTGGCTAAGACCTTGCTTCTACTAACGTGTTCTACAAGTCTTATTAAGGCTCTTGCAACGGGTTTTAACTAGCACAGAGATATCTACCCCCCTAGTCTTTGGTTTGCACCAATTCACACCATAGAAATGCGATCTTTGTTCTTTTTTTCAGAGCAAACGGAACAGCAGTTCGAGTTCGGGTATGTCGAGTAGCGGCGCGGCCGTTGCACCAGCCGCCTCGGCTGGTCTCAGCGCCTCGTCAAACTCCGCAGCAGCGACAGCAGCAGCAGCAGCCTCTGGCACCGAGCTCCGCCTGATCCCCAGCGACGCGGTGATTCTCCTCTACCGCCTCGGGGAGGGGGAGTTCGGTGAGGTGTACTGCGGCAAGTTGCACCTCGACAACGGCTCCTCAGAAGATGTGGCAGTTAAGGTGAGGATTCCCTGCTTGTTTGGTCTGTAGGTGTGCGTACGTGCTCTTATGACTTGACCAGCTCCACGTCAATTTCGGTTTTCCCGTTTCGGTCATTGCGACCATCAATCATCATATTGAACGACACATTGTGGTCCCCCTCGCATGCTGTCGATTGAAGCCTTGTGCGTTTATGTGGCATTGCGTTAATCTTTGATTTATACCCCAAATGTCGGCAAAAGCCGCTGACAAATCAACCACTGTCTGGCAGCAGTTCCGGGTCTTGAATTTGTGGTCAGTAGGCGACGTTGGTGATAAACGTGACTTGAGTTTGTCCCTTAGATGTCTAGATCTAGGCATTTCGTTGTGGGGGTGCTGACCAAATTATCGCTGGTGTTTATCGCAGCTTGGATCACTATCCGGCTTCTGATCTAGTCGATTGGAGGGTGTTGGACTGTATTAATTGGGTTAGGTACCTATGTCTGAAGGGTTGCTGACGGTGATATCGAAACCCACGCCAACATGTCCCTAAAAACCATCACTAGTGTTTTTTAGGCACATATCAAAATTCTTGCACGGATTGTCTATTTACCTAACGTGTATATTGCCTTTAAGGAACACTGATATTCCACATTTACGATATCCTGACAACCAAAATAATGCAAGTAAAGTGTGCAATTTATACGGAAAGTAGACAACAGTACGTGATCGGCACTTTCTCGGTGTCAGACTGTGTAAGTTGCACCACCTAGGAAAAAAACCCAGCGCCAACGGCCCGGTAGTGTGTTGGCCTGCTGTGCGTGCCGAAATGGCGAAAAACTTTGCAGCAGAATGCTCACCGCTAACTGCATCATCTGGTTTTGACGTTTTGCAGTAGTCCTCATCGTAGTGGTCGTTTGATTTCGGACCTTGATCTCTTCACTTTTGCCATTCGCGACCTCGTGAGCAGAATTACGTTGCTAGATTTACTATATCAATTTATTTGCCGTCAATTTAACTGTTCGGGTTCCGTAGTAGGACTATTTTATCGCATTTTTTGCCAATTACATCAACATTTCTTCTTCCTCCCCTTCAGTGAGGTCGATTTCGTATTTTCAACTGATTCCCGTATCTTAACCCCAGGCTACCCAATCGCACAAAGTGATAGTCTTCACATCACTGAACTGCAATGTGATTTTTTTGCTCTAGTTTGAGTAACAGAGACATTTTACAAACTCAACTCCCTACCGGGAGTCTAATGCTTAGACACGACGTTCCAAACACTTGAAGCCTCCCGCGTGTTACGCGTATGCGAGGACTCGTGGTAGGCAAATTTGGCATCCGCTGTTGGCTTCTTAGGTCGGAATTTACTGAACTTACGCCTCCTTTCCCTGCAAGCCGTGTCAACGGGCATTTCGGGTCACAACTGGAACAGTCCATTGTCCCTGTTTTTTGCTGCTTTCTGGACAGCCTAGTACCAGCCACCTCCTTGAATCCTCGGCTGAGAGAAGAACTCAGTTCTAGTGAATCATTTGCTCACCAATATACACAGCAGCTGTGTTATTAGTCCATTGGGATGTATGTATTACCGCCGCCCGGTAATTTGATCCCCTACCGATTTGGCTGTGCTTATGCCCAGCAATGGCATTTGGCCTTTTATTCACTCGCGAATAAATTTTAGGGGTCGGCGTAATCGCCTTGACCGAGATTTCGTCTATTTAGCATCCCCGCACCACTAATTGTCGAAACATTCGCGCGTTGCTTTGTTTGCGTAGGTTCTGGTGCAGCCGTGTCAGCGACTGGACTTCCTGAAGGAGGCGAGCATCATGATGCGGCTCTCGCACGAAAACATCATCACCATCTACGGGGTGTGCGAAAACAAGCGGCTGATGATGATCCTCGAACTCGCCGAGCTTGGCAGCCTCCTTGACTTCATGCTTGACTACCCAGAACGCTGCCAACTGCCTGAGCTCTACAACTGGGCCATGCAGGTACGTGACCGAATGCCAGGTAAACACTCGGGCACCGGCTTGTCGTGTTTTCGCTCGTACCGCAATAACAACTCGGTGTGATATGGCAGTCTATTTTACGTGTTTATTTCATCACGAATACTACCACCGCATCGTGTATTTTAGTACTTCTTAACACGATTTACTCACCCAAATTCTTACAGCATAATGCGATGTAAGGGATTGCAAGACGATCTTATGAGATTATTTGTAGTGCATCGACCTTTCTCTGTATACTTTACAAACTTTTACACGAGAAGGTTACTGCTGTTCGCCCTTTCGTAGTCTTGTTTCTAATTTGGCCACGTGCCATATGTATCAAACGCCCCACAAGGGTGTGGAATTCGGCTGTGCGCGCGTGCCGGAACGCATCCAGACCTTGTAACAAACTCAGTACCCATCTTCTCAGCATCTCATCTACACTACTCTCCTCGGCAATGCCATTTTCTTACGTGAGCGACTCAAAATACAAACTGCCACCACGCGCTTTCAAATAATGTAATCTACAACACTATCACTCCTGGGAGGAAATGTTAGCGTTTTGGAATGAAACGTCTTCATGGTAATCTCAAGGTGTACTATGCTTTGAATTGACAGTCAGGTTCACAAATCTCGTGTCCTTCCCACATACTCTCAAATTTTACAAAGGCGCATCATTTCACGCATTCTTTCAAGGTAACAGCTTTGGTCCTTAGATTGCCAGCGGCATGAGTTACCTCGAGTCAGCTGGCTTCGTCCATCGAGATCTGGCCTGTCGGAACGTCCTCCTGGCTTCCCAAACATGCGCCAAGATCTCCGACTTCGGTCTCTCGCGGGCTGTGGGAGTCGAATCAGACTACTACAAGGCCACCCAGCGCGGCAAGTGGCCAGTAAAGTGGTACGCCCCTGAGTCGATCTATTACAAGACCTTCAGCACTGCAAGCGATGTTTGGTCTTTCGGGGTGTGCCTCTGGGAAATGTTCTCCCTGGGAGAGCACCCGTACGCGGACCAGGATAGTTTCGAGGTTCTTCGTCAGCTGGAAGAAGGCGTGCGACTACCGCGGCCGCGTTTAGCAAGCGACGAGGTCTACGGGGTCATGCTCGACTGCTGGGCGTACTCGCCGGAGGCCAGACCCAAGTTCGCCCATCTGTTGGCTATCTTTCGGCACCTGGCGACGAACGTCTACGAAAACGTCGCCGCCCCATCACAATCCTCCACCTCCTCGAAGGCTAATGGAACCCCTGGGGGAGGCGTGCCTCCGCAAATGTAGAAAAAACTGCTCTTCCTCCGGGCGTGTGTGTGTGTTTTGATTCTCTTTCAATGTATATTGGTTAATTTGTGACTCCACCGCTGCCTGCATGTCTGTACGCGCCGCCCCCATTATGTTCCTTCCGCCAAACACCCAATGCTATTGTTTTTAAAGATGCCCTTAAAGACGACGATAGTCCTGACCGTACGCTGAGAGGCTTGATGTTTTGTTGCTGTCCTACTGAGTGTTCGACTCAGCGTGCATCTAATCGTCTTATTCTACTCGCAGGTTTAAGTAGCAAGCAGGTCACAATAATCATTGTAGTAATTGCGTGGGCTGCGTGTCACACACAAACTCTGCGTATAAAAATACAGAATAATTGAACTATTTGGTCCTAAATACTTGTATCAAAACAGGTATAGTAATTATATACATATAAATGCAAGCGTGAATGCTCGGAATGCAAGTACACGGGGACACAAGTTCCTTATTTCCTCAAGCATCGAGTTCTTCTAAGGAATGTTTCGCCCTAGCAAATGCTCCACAGAGGGCGCCGAGTTGAAGCTTTTCAGAGGCTCCCAATGACATGCGGTGCTCCACCTCCGCCAGTACCACTAGCAGGTCGGCCTTCACGGCGTCTGGGATTTTTACTAAAATGCAAGAACACGCGGTGAACAAACTGCCTCATGGCTATGTGGAACCTACACCGTCGATTTGTTTACGTCGGGTTACGCGAATTCGCCAGACTACCAACATACTAAAAGACAGTTCCGTGTCCTCACTTACCTCGCATAATTAACAGATGCAGTTCAGAGAGGATGTCTTGAAGGGCGATTCCCTTTTCAGCCTTCATTTTAAGTATATCTAGAGATGGTGTGAAATGAAATGTGTTCAGGTAAAGTAGCAAGTACGGTGGCAGTGCAAGCGTCTTATTTAAAAATCTGCTACCAGGACTCCTATCGACATGCTGGTTTCTTGATACACACTAAAATGATTAAACTGGAAAGATCGGATCACCTTTTATATCACTGTGTAAAGTGGTTTTGAGGCAAATTGAGGCCCAGTAGAAGCGATGTGGCATTTATTCTTTAGGGGTGCTAGATTCAACAACGGTTTGTTCCCATTTACTGAACCAATGAAGTTTTGGTAAAAAGAATAATATTATCTGAACACGGGAATCCGCACACTCTGGAGAGCGAGGTGTTTCAGGTTGGCAGCCAACCGAAAAAAGGTGACGGTGCAGTCGTCATGACAGCACAAAGTGGAAAGCAAGGATTTCTGATCGGCGGTAAGAACGCCGATCAACCATCGTCGACACAACAGTCCATTGCCCTAAGACATTTTGAAAAGTAGCCGAATTCTAAGTTCGAAGCTTTGGACACGTTAATCAGCCAAGGCGCACTTTTGAATGCTGCAGCAAGTGGCTCATTAAGACACCAGTCAAGCACGGTTTTCATTTCTGCCGGAGTTGGATAACCTGTGCAGGCGTAGACGACAGCCTCGTCAACGATGTGGCTGGACATTGAGGCACTCTGTAAGATGAAAATCACCAGATAGCACAACTACCTGCATTAAACAACTAATTACTAGTCGTGGTTCAGAGGAAATATGCTGCTTGTTAAAACTGTTCTTTAACAGATGGAGCGTCATCTAAATGTGGGTAATTGGTAGGGTTAAACCTGGATAATCTTATGAGACATTATTTTGGTCACAAAACTAGGCAGCCTAGATTTAATACGATAAAAAATGGTAAATTGGAATGGAACGAATACCCATGTATTACTTAAATAAGTTGGTATGCAATTTTATCGATTCCAGAGGGTAAAACTCCTGTTCTAAGACCGCACCACCACATTACTGATACGCAAAAGCTCAGGAGGTACAAAGTATTGATGAAAACGAATTGGTTTTGCCGGTGACAAAAGTGCCAGTATGCAATTCACTGCTCCACGGTTAGGACTATCATAACTCAAGGCGCAAACGGAATTTCTAACTGCTACAAGATTAAGTGGCGACGTAAACAGGGCACACCAAGGCTAATTTAGCGCCTTCAACACACCTGTAATAAATTGATGGCTTTACGCATATCACCAGAAGAAAGTCGGTAAATGGCGATCTTGCCATCATCAGTAAGTTGAAAACTACAAAGAAGGCAAAAAAACTATGAAAGTGGGATGAAAAACGATGATCCAGGAATTTTGAGACAGTACATACACTGGACGGCATTTTCCACGGAAGGTCAAGGGGTGAACGTTGAAAATTTTGTTTTGAGTTTTAGGACCTTTTATTGGGAAACGAAACACCTAACTCTACAGCTTGAGCCATGAAACTACGTGATAAGCGTAAAAATTACCACAGATGAACACAGGTACTGTCTGCAATCACAATTTCCACTATCAATAGCATTTCTAAGGATTTTGCAGACTGCAAAAGGCATTTAAGATGAGTACCGAAACCCCAAAATTTGCGTTATAAATCATATTCATCATAGTTAAGGAAAGATGATTCAGGCAATAAGTTCAATGTAACCACAAAGTTGGACAAAGCTATAATGAAAGAAAGGTCTAGCCTAATACGTATAGTCGCGACTGGATGAACAAGACACTCAAAGACAACGCATACCACTCTTTTTTCGCGATATCGGTAAGACGGTCTACCATTTGGTCCTTATCAACTGGCGAAAAACGGAATCGGGTGCACCGAGACTGAATGGCCGGTGTGATCTTCGAGAGGTAGTTGCAAATGAGACAAAAACGGGTGTTTTCCGTGAACTTTTCAATGACTAAGATAGTTGGGTTAAAATGAATTGAGAGGAAAGCATTTACTTCGTCTGAGGGCGTTCTGGGCATCCTTGGTCATGGCATCCGCTTCGTCCAAAATTACAAGCTTGAACTTTCCCCTACATTGGAAGGGTTAACATTAAAACGACTAAATGAAACCTACGAGAACAAAGTCTTCGTGCTGGCAAAAGTCAGTACCTGCTCACGGACCACACCAATGCCACGCTCGTCCGAAGCATTTAACTAAAAAGGAGAATGATAAGGATACCGCCAAGAAACATGTCTCATAAAAGGGGATCTGAGTAAACGAACAAGAGATAATAAGCACAAATAAACTTTCCAGAGGGACAACTAAACGAACCTCAAGGACCATTGAAGCGAACTCATTTGGACTAAAAAGCTGTTTTGCAACAGCAAGTATAGTACTCGTTTTACCGGTTCCAGGCGGACCATAAAATAGCAGATGAGGTAGCTTTCCTTGGTCTAGGAACCTTCGAACTGTATCATAAATAGGAGTTAAACTTCTATACTTGTATTAATTATTTCCTTGTGGCTCAAAAGGCAGTCTAAAGTGTCAGGGCGATATTTCTCAATCCTAGGAAATCTGAAATATAATGCCAGAAGTGTACCATGGGAGATCAGCACACATATCCTAGATTTCAAAACAACAACAGAACCAGAATTTAACAGCAGCTGAATTTTATATGAAGCGCTTCTGCCAAAAGTGATAAAACGAAAAGAACTAAAACTTTTTCACAATGTTGAAGAAGCACACCAAATAGGGTAAATTACCAGGAATATAAAGCGGAATTATTTAGTGGTCAATAATGATTAGGTTCACAAAAAACTATCTTTGGTTACCTGATAAAGACCTTACGCATGTCGACTCTGAATTCGTTACAAATTTTATTACAGTTTTGGGATCCAGGTACTTACTTGAAATTTAAGTAATGCACTCAAAATGACGTTTTAGGGCATTATAGCTAAGCTAGAATGTCCGCATTGCATAAGCGTCGCTTGGAGATTATCAAGCCTTGATATTACTCGGTGCTGATGTCAGCAATTTCTGACGAGTACGATACGCATGCAATTTTATGATTAATTATCAAACTTATTTACTTGTACATTATCCAAATATACCAACGCAAACTGGCTTATGTAAACTAATCGATATATGAACAATCAAAAACTCAACTAAATTCCTTTTTTTTGCAACCATGCGTTTGATGGTGGCGTGCCCGTAAAGACGTAATGCAATTACAATTATATGAAAGTTGAGTTGTATCAAGTATATAAACCAGAGGTGATCATGCTGAATAAATCAAGGTTGGTAGTGTGGTTTAGGAAACCACACCAGGGTAGACAATGTGCCTTTACACGGCCTGACCGAAAGAAGAATGGAGTAGGAGGGGGCGCGTAGCCCAACCAATTTATTGATACAGTAGCGGTGTGTGTGTGTACAGGATAGCAGGTATTGCTTGTCTGGTGTTCGCAACAGACCTCCCCCACTAGAAAAATGAAAAAGCGAACTTTTTCGTCCACTGGAGTTTTTGAAAGGTAGGCCATCGGTTATGCGTGATTGGGATGTGGCTGTCTGGCTTGGTGGGACCGAGAATTCTCTCTCCTTAAGTAAGATAATTCACCTAACCTTTTCCTCCAATGCGGATTCTGCGATCGATATGTGGCCTATGTAAATGTAGAAATGAGGTGAATTTGCGTACCCTGAAAACTACTAAAACGCTTGGTATCATTGTTTGCTTTCGAAAGTCGCTCAATATGAATCGTTGTTGCCGATATAATCTTTTCTATCACCTGGATATCTGAAAGGGTGTTCGTTGGAGAAGTCGTGCATGATGCCGATTTGCGAGATTGTTGACATCCTCTGATCTGGTTGACAGTCGAGACCCAGAGGACAGAATCGGTTGAAAGTATCTGCAGGTTGAACGTAAAAAATCGAGGCCGACAAAGGTCGGATGATGCAGCCAAGTTGATTAAAAGTGGGAGACCCGATGGATGAAACAAGGTTGTAGAGAGAGAGAAGATATTTGTGCTAAGATAAATGGAAGAATTGTCGTAGAACTACATGTTGCCGCCTCCAGGTGATGGGAACGGAAAGGCACCGTCCGGAGTGTAGCAGCAACCGGAGATTTGGCGCAATTCGGAGAATTGTGGTTAGAAATAAGTCCTCGCTTATTGACGCGACGGAATCCTACTAATAGGTCGCCAGACGTCAGTACAATGAAGGTTTGATGTTTCGGACACCAGAAGGTCGATATTCGTCTAACATCGGAGTCACCAATTGTAGTAAGGATTAGTGCAGGTTTGAAACCACACCAGGGCCGACAATTTACTTTGACTTGGCAGTAACGAAAGAAGAAGTTAAAACGCAGGTGGCGCAAAACTCAAGCAGTTTGTTAAAGCAGTAGCGATGTGTGTTGTACAGGATAACGATTGTGTTTATATAGCTTCCCTAAGCACTGATCATTGAGCGAACAGAGTCACGTAAAGTGCATTCACGAAAATCGATTGAATTGAGTTCTCTCACGCCTGCTGCCCTCCATACCAGATCCTACTATACATTTCAGGTTTCGAGGGCCATGAGTTTCCCTGATTACAAGTTCTTCTCTGATTTAAAGACAGCTGGCATCAGACTAACTCATTTGGTCCAGCAGTATACAGCGCGACACAGAAGTATAACAATGAGTTAACAAAGTCGCAAAACCTCTCTAAATTATTTTCGAAAAAGGTATAATGTTTTGGGAAAGTAGACGAATCCAAAAATGCAATAAGGCTTTTGAAAAAGAAAAATGTCGCAGACTAATGCTAAATGCTATACACAGCTTTATTTGATAATTTTATATACTAACGATGACGAACCACTGAAATTATGTGGCTTGTTGTAAAGTCTTATGTTTACAAAGTAAAGCTCCTGCGTTGCATAATGCTGTTTTTGAGACCATATGCGAGGTTTCTTTAATGGAAAATGTATTGTTAGAATTTATGGCGCTTAATATACGAAATTGAAACTAAGTAATTTTTGAATGAATTCACTTATGGTTGCACCGGAATAGTATAACATGTATTAAACATTTCTGGTTTTTTTAGCACAATTAATAACAATATTAAAGTATACTGTTTGACAAAATGGATTTGAGTGATGGTAGGTTTTGACGCGAATGTTTTAATTACTATCACTACTCCCGCTCTCTTGAAAGAAGTTGAAGCGGTGCCTGTGATCCTGAAGGTTTTTTCTGTGATCATCATTTTATGTGAAATTTGCGTTTTATCTGATCAAATGTCTTCCGACCTTGGATTTGCAAATTTCGAGGATAGGCATGTAAGAAACCCCGTTGAAGATCAATTAACACCATTCACTCATCTCAATGACTCAGCTGTTGGTAATGCACTGTATAATTGTAATACTTAGGTCTTGCGGGTTTACAAAATCTTGGAAACACATGTTTTATGAATGCTGTGATACAGGTGCTAGCCAATTGGTAATTTCTTCTGATCTGTCGATTTTGTAGCTATCCATTTAGCGAATTATTACTCGCTCGTGCTTCAACATGGGATGGTGATTCAGAACCCCCATTATCTGCTTCGTATTTCAAATTGCTATGTCAAATGGGTCACTTCAAAGTTCATCAAGGTTCCAACATCCGACCCTCCTTGTCTTCATACAGTTTACCTGTCGTCTCTGCATATAGCGTCCTGGATGCTATAAGAATTTCCCACCCAATGTTTAAGGGTGCTTACCAGCATGATTCACAGGAGTTCATGAGGGCGTTTTTAACTGACATGCACGATGAATTAAGACTGAAGCCTTTTAATGACGCGAAGTTTCCATATCCGGCGTCTGAGCCAAATGGGTGTAAGTTCATTGTCATACTTTCCTTCCTCAAATAGCAGCACTGTTAGTTTTAATGCTACCGATAGTTACTTTTTTGAACAGGGTAGTCGAGTATGCGCTTTATGGTTAATTTGCTTCAAGTGCCCCACTTTCCATGTTTGTTATTACATTTTTGTGCCACTTGCCTCATCTAGCCATCACATCCCCCTAGTATGTGTCCCCTCATAGAAGTTTAATTAATTGAGTATTGTAATGTATTCAATCTAACGGACCTGTTGGAATACAGTAGTTATTATATGTTCGTATTGGCCCATTTGTTAATACGCTTGTCGATTAGTTTTTTCAAATATTTGACTAATGTTCAGTGGCATCCTAGTATGGATGTTTTGGCCTTTTTTCGTAAGTTTTGAACAGGAGGATTTTGCTCTCGCGTTGTCAACTACATTGTACTAGTAATCAACATTATTTCCGATAACAGCTAATCACAATGAAGATGTTAACGAAGACAAAGTATGCATCAAAGCAGCGATGAAAAACAAGCGACAAAAACCGCACAAGCCGAACACCAATGACGAAAAATCCATGGAGGATAGCAGCATAGTTCCCTCTGCCAGCATAGTAATGGACGTCTTTCAAGGCGGAACAATTACAAGCGTCAAATGCCTGTCTTGTGAAAAGGTAGGGTCTCTTTAATTTGTTTATACTTGCACGAAGCAACCTGTTTCCATCATATAAAGAGGTGACCCATGTGTTTAATTAACAATTAATTGCGGGTTGTACATCGGCTTGATGATTTCGAAAAAAACTTAAAGCACAGTTTTAAGGGTGCATTAATTAAACATTTCCTTTTGTCAATCTTTGAACTCTAACTCTTGATTTTTTCGACGCATCTGCATACTTCTCATTATGTGGTTTCGACAAAAAGATAGACGAGGGAAATTGTATGTCGTTCAAATTTTAAATTTCCTTGTTAGTTTTTTACCAAAATCGAGACTTGTGCAGTCCTCTTGCAACAAAACATGTATTCCTTCATAATCATGCTAGCTCTATTCAAGTTCGATCACACCAAGTATTATAGGTCCATGGGGTGAAAGTAAACTGCATCTATTTTGTCTTGGTTGTTCTGTGATCATAAACGCTTGCATATTTTAATCTTGGCATGCTTGCTGGACCCTCTGCCAGCAGTATCTAGACGCTATCGATGGTGCTGAATAAGAAGGTGCAGAGTTGACATTTTAATACGGTTCATATGCGTTTGTATAGTTCTTTAGGCTAATGCTTTAAGCTGCCGACTGTTGATAAAACACATTTTGGGCAAAATTAGTTCATAATTGCCATTTTAATGACGTACTTATTTTAACAATACCCAAACCTATAACAGACAAATGGCCATTAATAAGCATTGGGGGTGCTTTTCGGATAAAGCTGTCTGGTAATCGTTGTAAGCCTTGTTTATTGCTGTTTTGGTTTTATTAGTTGGCGGCGTCCAATTGCTTTTTTGGGCCTTAATCCACTTCCGAAAGCGCCTTAGTCGCTATCTGAATACTTTTTATAATGCTACGTTCTCATTCGCCTTATCCCATCGTCTTATTTACAGGTTTTTCACCGAAAAGAGGTGTTTCTAGACCTCTCTCTTCCCATAGCAACTCAGGCTAAACATAAGGTTGGGGATGTGGCGAAATCGCCACCGCCACCACCACCACCACCTTCAAATCCATCGCGCATCATCGCCACCAACCGGTTCTTCTCGTCGGACTCTCTTATTGCCGTTGGCAAGCAGCTATTTCTTCACCCATTAGACTCGTCGATTGCGCTTTTATCGCTAGCCTCTCTCTTCGTCCTTTTCGTGGCGGCTTGGGTCAAAAGACTCCCCCTGATTCCTCTCATCGCCTCCTATTTTGCATTTGCCACCTCGTGGGTCAAAAGGTTTGCTGTAACTTGGCGTCGTGTTGAGCCAGAGTCCTTTTTACACGAAGCTTGATTGACCCAGTCTCAAGTGTTCGGCACCGTTGCAAATTTACACAAATTAATGGGACACTCATGGAAGCATAATCCTGCTGCACTGTTTATGTATGGATTAGATTTAAGCAGGCAATCCTTGTCGTCAGAGCCAAGTGCTTCACTCCTGGGCTGTGAATCACACAAAACCGTAGTCATTTGGATACCACTTCCACGTGCTAACGATGAGCGTTATTAGAGTTACGTGGGTAAAATTGGCTGCATTTGTACATTTCTATATTCCTTTTTGCCCCTAGTTGACCGGACGACCGTTTTATAAGGTTTTTATATGAAGAAATTGAGTAATTTATCATTCTTAAGGTTACTGGTCTCGCATGACATGTGTCAATCACATGTACCGCCCGTGCTACTTTGATTCCCCAGTCGCTTTGATTAATTTAGGGGCTTGGGCCTAGCTGTGTCTTCTTTGGATGTGGATGCGATCTATTTCGCATCGTCGAAATTCTGCTGTTCTTGGTGGTTTTCGTGTTTGAACTCGGTCAGGTCTCATGCAGGGCGCTAAAATCATTCCAAGAAGACCTCACTGGTCAACGTAACTGCAAGTGTTGGTAATCCACCTATTACCGGTTGAAATTCTGTCGACCTCAACGTGACACATACTCCCTCCCCTTCGGGAGTAAGGTCTCGTCTACGGCGTTAAATAGAATCAACCGGCCTCAGTTTGTGCCCTGATTGCTCATTTTACGTTATACTTTTGCTTTAGTCTTATCTGGACTCCCCACATCGAGCTGGAAGATTGTCTAGATGCCTTCTTTGATGTCGACGAGCTTGCGGGCGAAAACCAATACCACTGTGAGCACTGCTCAAGGTAGGTTTTGTGACTAGAGGTTCATGTCCATCGTAAATAGAAGCCTATTTTTTTGTTTTCTGTGACCTCGTCTTTGCACCTGGTCAAGTGACTTCGTGTTGACCGTGGACCTTGTCAGATAACCGAAGCATTGGTGGGCTAGATGTACGCTTGTAGATCGACTGATGTCCACCAGGATTCAATTAAACGAACTGCCAGTGCCAACTTAACCGACTGGAATTTTCGCTCGGTCTTGTTTACGTTTTTATCTGCCAGATAATTGCTTAAAAATCTGCTTTGTGTGAAAGTATCACGCTGTCAGTGTTACTTTTAGCCCACACACTCAGCTAACCGGTACCCCAGACCCCTTGTCTCACGCTAGCCACTCCACCATCCCACGCTAATGTAAGGCAAGACCTTCAGAGTGCTTTTAATGGCTCGGCCTTTTGCCGAGTGATCTGTCGGTGTCTACTTATGTAAGTCAAGAATGACCTTGACCCGATGAGTCGAGGCTGTCAGTAGGGTGCCGTGGGTGACTCGCCCACTGAAGTGACGTGGTTGGGGGAATTGTGTAAACAACGACAAGATGCCAACCCGCTATGAGCCGCCTTGGGCAGCACTGGGTCCCCAACAGTCAGTGTCAAGACATCACTAGGTATCTCGTAAATGTCCGACAACTGATAGACATTGTTATTTCACTGAATACTCATTTGCTCAATTCATGGCCCCAATCCTCTCTGCGCACACATTAGCACATCATGCCGGAGGAGGTGATTACAAGAGGGTCTTCACCATAGTCTCTTATCTGTTACTTTGAGTGCTGACGCAAAACGCTGACCCTGGTTAAAATAAGCCTCAGTTTTCTCAATTAGCCAATCACCTTAAGGGCAAGTCGTCTGAGCCATTGCACCTGAATTCTCAGGCATAATCAAGTTATTTCCAAAAACAATGTCCTATTTCGACACACTCATAGCCCCACTGCCTTGACATCAGTGGGCACCTAAGTGCAATTGTTTCCTTCGTCAGGAATCCGGTCTTTCTTTAGGCACACCAACGGTCGGATGCATATTGAGTTGACGAAACTGCCCGAAGTGCTCTGCCTTCATTTGAAGCGATTCCGCCATGATTTTATTAGTGCGTCCAAGATTTACTCCCCGGTTGACTTTCCCCTGCGGAACCTCGACTTGAGCAAGTACCTCCACCCCTCCTGCAGGACTAGGGTGAGTGTCATTGTCACTGTCCACGGGTCGACCTGGCGCAAATGCTTCATCCTTGTCTTTAATTGGTTGTTACTGTCAATCGAATAAGCCCTCCTCACACGCGTTCGCTGACAGGTCACTGAGTACCAGGTCAGAGAAATCGGCGAACGTGATATATTGTTGAGCAAACCAAACAATTCCACGTCTGATCGCGGGCGCCAGACGATGTACGGACGCCTTCTAACCTACTACCCTATTTACTTCGTTTTTTGAAGTTGATATCAATTTATTACGAGGGTAATAAGTCATTGAGCAGAGGTCTGTAAGTGTTTCGGCTCGGTGCATGTCATTAACGTTCTTGGTAGTACTTCTCATGTGAGCACAGCCGTGAACATTCGCAGTGTCTGTCTCGTTGCAGATGACAAACCGCCACTTTACTCTCCAGAGGCTACTTGCGGGGATGTTCTCTTCACAAACGTCACTTTTTGCCTTATTTTACTTCCTTACAAATCGCCATCCTTTGATTCGTTTAGATTTTGTCCTCAGGACGTAAAGAAATCGGTGTAAAGTAATTAAACCAGAAGGCTAGCCACATTATTTGATTTCTTAAACCGCTATCCAAAATCCTTCAACCGATTAGAGTGTTAACATTGCCCTCATGTACGAACTTTGCGACGGCATGCCGTCAGAATGCGGTTTTCTGTTTTACCACCTGTGCCTCAGTCGTTGAACAGAACTGTAGATGAGAAATGTAAGATCCTAAACAGGACTTGACCGAGAGGCTAAGATGTGAACGGCGGTTCAAGTCCTCCTAAAAGTGGTATTGTAGCCCCATGCCTCCTCCAATTGGCTTGTTCATGTTGTCTGAACGGTCTTTTGTCTGTGGCTGTTAAGGTGGCGCTGTACGACCTGGTGGGTGTGGTGTGTCACTCGGGGACTGTGCGCTGCGGTCACTACTACGCCTACGCCCAGAACCAGGGCGACAACGCCTGGTACGAATTCAACGACTCCAGCGTGCTGAGAGTCGACGACAGCGCGATCCCCTCACTCTCCTCCTCCGCCTACATCCTCGTCTATCGGTGCGTTTTTTTCATCTTTCCTGTCGACCTCGGCTTGCCATCTTGTATTTTCTTCAATTTTTATGTTTTCTTCCTCTGAATTGTTTCAGGAAGCAGCAAACCTCGGTCCGTCCTATTCGAGAAAAGTTTCTGGAAATGGAAGCAACGCTCCCAGTACGTTTGTGAGGTGTCCCAACTCATGGTCTGTTAATTCTCCAATTTCTTTGGTATAATCACTACATTCCCGTAGGTTTCCTCTCCCCCGGTGTACATCAGCCGCCATTGGCTTCTCCGGTTTGCCAACCTCGCCGACCCCGGACCAATTTCCAACTCGGATTTCCTCTGCAGTCACGGTGCCTTTCAGCCACTGCTAGCCTCTGGACTGGATGAACACGTTGCGCCCATTTCTCTTGATCTCTGGAATTTTGTTCTTTCACAGTAAGCCCTTCTAGTGAATGCGCCTCTTATAAATTCCGGTCTCCACACACTGCAGGCTACTTTATTTCATTAAGTAGACGATTTTGTATCGTCATTGGTTCATGGCTGGAAATGGGATGCATTACAATCTTCTTGTTGCCACCAGTATTACCAGAGAACAGCAAAGATGGTGAGGATGCTGTACAACGAGGTACAGGCGACCGTTTAATCACTCTTTCGTCATGACGTGTGATTGTGTGCGTGTGATTGAGTGAGCAATGAGGCTTAAAGGATTTAGTGAAGTAATTAACTTACGATAATCTACTCATAAGCGTCCGCAGACAATCCACTGCAAATGCTGCCGTCAAATGCATGCACTGATCGGCGCACGTAAAGTGAATCCACCTCATCTATAGTTTAGCCAATCATTTTTCTCCGATATGCTTACAAGTAGACTGACAATTGCACGATGACACGCCAGCGAACAACAAGGCTCACCGTTGCACCCGACAGTTGAATCATTGCGTTGCTCACGAAGTAAGCGGGACGTAAGTCAAAAAAGCCATCGCCAACTTCGGCAATTGGCCTGGATGAACTGTGCACAGTTATCTAACCATGTTCCTTCAAACCAACTGAGGTGAACCGGTTGTGTTCCGGACTAAATGTGGTCGCGTGAATCCCTTCGTAGTTTTAGACTGCCAACCCAGAATGAGGATAGCGGTCACTCGATTTAGGATGTCGAATAATCCAGAAACGTAGTAAATCGAGGTGCTCACAATTTTATTGCTTTTGTTTCTGCAAACATTCTTTGAAACTCGCGTCTTGCTTCTTGGGAGGTGTTTCCAACTCTCAATTAAGTAGCAGAACTAGCAAGAGTGTGACGTTTGGTTGGTTAGCTAGGGCGAAGGTGTTTTCTCCGTGCGAAATCTTGTATTGCCGTATTTGCGTTTTGTTGTGTCCATTCGTTTGGACATTTTCCCTCAATTTACGGTCATTCAAACCTTAACTAACAAGTAACCCTTTTTGGGTAATCATACACCGATTACGGTCTTTTTATCACGTCAAGTTAACTTCGGTGTGGGTGTGTGTGTGTGTCTATGTTGAGTGTTTATCGAGATTGGGCCACTCGTCCGCTTGATTCATGACGTCGTAAATCATTCATCTGCCAACGCAAGTTTCGATGCCTCGCAAAGTGGGCGTCCTATCAATCAGATTTCGCGGAATGAATATGCGAAACGGTAAAGCTATTAGTTATTCAGGCGCAGTACATGTGCTACGAAGCCTCTCTTGATTGATGACTAGAAGCCCCGATGTCCCTAGAGGCCAGTTGACGATGACAGGTGAAACCGGTTGTGTGTACTGCCAGTAATTTCCACAAGAATCAACCTTAACTGAGTCGAGGCTTCATTAAGTAAAGTGGTGAAGTCCATTCATCATTGTTGTGTCGGATTGAATTTCGTGGTGTGCCCGTTCTGCTCGCCCAAGCGACGTCTTGTCATCGCTGGAAAGAATTCGTCGCGTGGATGGCGAGTGCAAACCAGAAAGTTCTAGACCTGTGGTTTGAATTTATTATGGCGGCATCGAGGAGTCACTTCACCTGAAAGTTCGACGATCTGATAGTGTGGGTGGCATGACTAATCTCAGCTCTCGACTCACAGCCATCGTCGTCGTCTGCCCTAGTTGTGTTCTCGGAGCTGTTTATAGAAGGTGCTATCTACCTCATGTTCTTGTGCTTCGACAGCACGATCTCTGTTGCCTGCTGAGATGGAAAGCGTTCGAAAAACAAGATTCACAACGTCCGTGGTCACATTGGGATTGCAACAAGAACAGAATCAGGGGTCCTATTATGTTTACTTGTGATTAACCAAGCACTTACCTTTGCCGGAAAATCCGTGTCCATCTTCGCATTCTCCACAGCTTGTTTCTTGCGAGGCAGCATTAATTTGGTGATTTTGCTTTCTCCTAAAGTTCCTTATGCAGATTTTTGCTTCACAGATTTCTACATTTTTGAAATGCTTTCCAATGTTACAGGTTTGGCGGTGGTCCTCTTGTTACCAGTCTGCAGCCTTGTGAGGTCTGTGTGCAAAAGCTGGAACTCCTTGATTCTCGTCGGAATACAGAATTGAAGTCCTTCCAGATGGCTCCAGACGAGTCAGAGTCCATGTTTGTCATCAGCAGCGACTGGTTCAAAAGTTGGGCGGCCTTTGTCTGCGGCCGTGAAATCGGTATGTGTAGCTGCCTCGCAAACACGCTACGTGTCCCCAAGGTCATGCAATCGCTTGTTTAACGTTTAGAGCCACCCGGACCAATTTCGAATTCTGTTATCCTGGAGCCCTCGCGCTCAGCGTCAGGCACCTACCGAGTCCGCTTCGGGATCGCGCCTAGTCGATACAACCTCATATCTGAGCCCCGGTGGCGTCTCCTTTCGTCTACCTACGGAGGAGGTCCAGAGCACTCAGTCAAGTTACCTGCACATCCCGTGAATCACGAGGCTAAGATGGAGGAAGATCAGGCGGAATTCGTGCCATTCGCTAACTCAGGAAAGTCAGAACAGCATGAGGCGAAGGTTGATGACGAAGGCGACAATCGGTCATCGTCGTCAACCTCATTCTATCCGGAGGACGATGGGAGTGTGTCGTCGTCAGTCCGATCTGCCAGGGACACACCCTCCCTTTCCCCTTCTCCACCACTGCCTACCCCCCTGGAGGTGAGGTGTTGTGCTCGTGTCTTAGTATCCATGACCAGTATTGCGAGGTTGTTGCTTCCATCGCAATGTTGTTTGTTTAACTCATCAGGCGGTTGTTAATTGCCGGGGCTAAATTCAGTACTTATGACCGCATCAGAGGAATAGATCCAGGTTTGAGTTGGTAGAATTGCTTATCATTAGGTGTAGTTGGGATTTGGATATGCATGCTCTACCGTTTAGACGAATGTACAACGAATTTGAGGACTTCCCATGAAGCACAGACCTTTAGAATTGGCTGTTATTTTTGTTTAGTTGCTTGCACAGTCCTACTTTAGCACTCAAGAGTAGACAAAATTACCTTGAAATCGTTGTTTGTTATTTTGACACTGTCGTTTGTTTAAAGTGATTCGTTCTCACTGTAGACGCACAACGCAGGCCCCTACCCCCTGTCGGAAAACACCTCCAACTCGAATTCTCCCGTTTCGGAGCGACGTGCGCAGCAGTCCGCCCAGCCTCCGCGACCAGCATCCGTAGTCTTTCTGAAACCCGAAAGCTCTTCAGCTGGCGATGGCCTCAGCAATGGCCGTTGTCACTCGGCCACGGGTTTCGCGACGTTGAATGGCGACAGCAAAAAGCCAATCCTGCCCGCTGCTTTCGGAGACGAAGATGTCGCTTGTGATGGCGGTGGAGGCGACACGAGTGGGGAGCTCAAGGGGGCCTTGCAAAACGGTTCAATGAACTGTGCTAGGGAGGATCACCACGAACTGCTGCCTTGAGTGACACCTGTAGAGGTCCAAATTGTGATCCTTCTACCCCCTTGCCCATTCTTGTGTTAAGCCAGATGATTGTGAAAGTGATGTACGAGTCCGCATCGCTGCCCTCTTTGTCTTATTTAACCATTTTTTGAGTTATTCACCTTTTAGCTCAGTAACTACTTGTTTGGGGATTGTCTAAGGATTCTGCCTTAGCAATTAGAAATGCTTGAGCTAACTACTTGATTTGCAACGGCAGGATGTGCGTGCCGTTTCTCAAGGCGTCGAAGTTGCAGTGTGCTTGGTGAATTGTGCGCTTTGGCCTCGTTCTTTATGGAATTTCGCAGTACAGGCTTATAAAATACCTTTAGTTGTAGGGTTTCATTGTCAGCTTGGCATTCGACGCAATTGAATTGCACGTGCTCGATGAGCTAGTCGGTTTCCAAGCTTAAAAATGGTTGTAGACGGTCTTTTTGTGGTCTGGAAGGAAGTGAACTGACCTCGACCACCCCTAGGCCTTTAGCTGGTTAGTTTCTGTTGTTTCGCCTGATAAGCATATCGGCATAACAGTGGGTGCTTCAACCTTTAGCAAAACTACCCCACAGCTCGCATGGCGTATTTACACTCGGTAAGCTGGGAGCTGACGCACCTTGCCAGATCTCAAATTTGCACAATGTGGCGCGTGGAGTTTCATGAGTTAATGTAAACAATGCAAGTCCTGGAGAAGCCAGGCTCTTCTGTCGAGTTAAAAGGCGCACATCGAGTTTGTTTATGGTTTCGAGGCTTCCGGCGTGCCGCGGGCTACGCAACGCACACGAGTTTGTGGCGGTGTTCTCATTGGCCGACACTAGGGCGCGTGGCCACGGAGCTGAGCGTTGATTTGCGCGTGTCCCGGCGAATCGCGTGACTCCCTGCAATTTAGATCCAGAACCGCCTTGGAGGCCGCAAAAGTTCTCCAAGGAATCGGGAGAAAGCACCGTCCTACTCATCCGACCCCTTTACAAAGGAACTTAATTACAACCCGCTTTTGATCCAGAGGAAGCTACACCGCGGTAAGGTGCAAATTAAGTCTACATTCATGCTTTTGTTTGGTACTTGGGAAACAGCTTTGGGAAAGTATTTCAGGTTTTTTTGTCAGGTTCTCACTCAGGAAGTACAAATTGCTATTAAGCCCTCGTTATCCAGACATTTTAGATTGATAAGGGTCCAGCTTGTCGAGTTTTATAGAAAGTGTTCAACACCATCAGTTTTGTTATTTTTTATGTTGGATTACATCTACTTTAACCGTTTGGTAAAGTTCCTGTTGCCATATCTGCGTTTCGGCTGTGATCCCTTAAGCAGTTATTATCTGTGATTCTTGTATTCGCACCTTAAACACAGTTGTGACAACTGAAGAATAGGCCTGTTGTAATTGGATGAAAGTCGATGTGTGTTAGCAGTTGGCAGACCACTAAAACTCCGTTGAGTCCCCTAGTTTAAACCTCGCTAGCTGACTTGTATTCACACAGGCGGCTAATTATGCGGTCTAAGTTATCCCCCGATTGACGTCTTCCTAGCATCTGTTTTTTTGAACTGTCATCTGAGTCTGTAGTCGGATGGATTCTCCAGTTATACCACCGTCTTCCGTAATGCTTTACCTACCCTTGACCATCAGGTTTTTTTTGCAAAAACTGCCTTCTAAGTTCTGTAAAGTGCACATGTCCTACTCTCTTCCCCACCACTGCCATTCTTATAGCTTTCTTGAAGCTTGTAGTTACCTATCCAACAAAAATTACACTTTGAAAGACACGAATTCTCACGAGGTATGTTTGAGAAAAAGTTTCTGCATGTATTGTTCACCGATTCGCCTCAATTTCAAAGCGAGGCGTTTTTTGTTCTTTTAATAAAATAAACCCATTCTGTGAGGTGATTAGTCGGACAGCTTATCTTCCTCTCCTAATCGGATTTACAAATCACCAATTTAGGGAGTTAAGTGTGATTTTTTTAGGTTTCCTGTCTACTAGTGTGTTTTGAATAAGTTCTGTTCTTTCGGAGACCAGAGGGATAAATGGAGAAGTTACATCATTTTCGTGAAGGTCAACACAAGAGGTTCTGTCGGTATAGTGAGAGTAAAGTTGAAATATGGGAAGTGACCGATTGGAAATCGATAACTTATGAGCATCATTAAATGAAAACTGATGGCTGAGAAGAGCTTGTCACATTAAGCTGACTGCGGCTTATGGTTCATCACGAAAGCCTGCTCATCGAGATAGTTCGCTTTGCAGGCGTTGCATTGCTCGACATTTTACTAGATTTTAATACCCCTAATCAAGCATGGGCTGCCTCTGTAAATGGCACCATCGTGTAAATCATTGGCTTTTGCCTAGGCGAACAATTTGCACCCGAATTACGCATCGTTCCCATGATTTTATGAGAGCCACTGCAGCTCCCATCCTGCAATCCCAAATGAACAAAGCGTGGCCGTACGGTAGCCGAACAAAAACGTTGTGCTATGGTGACTAATCGGACACGCTAACACACGCACAGGTACACAATACCTTCATCGAGCGTTAAAGGGGTGCGAGAGGGGGGGTGCGGTCCAGGAGTGGTCCCGCATTTCACTTTCGCCCGATTCAGCGTGTTCCCATCTTCCTTCACCTTCACCCGCTACTGCTCCCCCGGTTCGGTATACCTGCGCGAAATTAGCTTTCGTCCGATGAGGTATCCTGGTGTGTCGAAATATTTGCAAGCCCGGAAGAAGGAGACCCACCGAATAGGATCTTAGGAACCCTTATTTCGGCAGAACATCATAGAAGTACACTGAATGCGATGTCAAGTGTATTCACTTAAGCTAAACCATGTTATCTTCGGCTGCGTCGAATAACCAGAACCCACTTTTCACGGCACATTTCTCAAAGGCAGTAAACTTTTGGGTCTTCAATTATTACAGGGTTACTTTGGTTGGGGAAATTTTCAATTTCCATGTCGACGGAGGACTCACTGTGTAGAGCCTCAAATTAATGACATCTAAAAACAACCTAGAATTACACAGGTCCACCTTGCTTCGTACTTACAAGGGACGTTATGACACTTTTCCCTCTGCCTTCAGTAAAAAATGCATTAATAACAACGACAAGATCGTAAAGGATCGATTTTCCCGACTTTGTAACAAAATAAGATGTGAGGCGTTTAGTGACGGGCTAAATTTGCACTGCTTTTTTTTACAAAACGAGGATTGCTCCTCTTGATTCGCTAGCATTATTGTCAAAAGTAATGCCCGAAGGATTGAAAAGCCAGAGCAGATGCCTTCTTGCTTCATCTAATTTGCAGTGAATCAGACCTTTTCCAGGATTTCTTTGTGTAAATATTTTACATTTTCTAAACCCCTCAAGATTTAACAATCGACAAACATACGGGTTTTTTTAAACCACGTGCAGCGTCCACTTACGTGTCACCTACTTTAACGTCGGCATAGTCGTGGTTAGAGATGAAAATTTCCTTCCTCTACGGTGACAAACCGCTCTTGGAGCCAAAAAGAGGATCCCAAGCAGCGCTAATATGATATGGTAATATGATTTAGGCTGTTACTTTTATGGACACGTAGGCCTTTCAGAGGAGGCTGCGGAAGAGAATTTAAACGCAGCTTGGTGCTTAGTGGTTAGGCATTTGTCTATGTTGATGCGGTTGTGTCATTTTACGAAGATTCTGCACATTTTGCACAAAATGAGGTTGGACGGTAGTTCTAAAAAGTAAACTTAACTTCGGGGCTATCTTTGCAACACCATGGGCTATAAAAATAAATTTCCGGAACCATAGATTCATTCTCTACTCGTCCTTTGCTCCTACGATCAAAACATGACTATGACTTTCGTCTGATGCACGCAAACAACCGCTTTTATTGTTTTTTTTTAGAAGGAATTTTTTGTTAATTTTTGACGACAGTGCGGTAGGACAAGAAAGGAAGGGGCTAACGAAAAAACTCTTAGCTTCACGAATTATCTCCAACTTCTGCCCGCTTTCTTCTGTCGGACAGGGAGCGAGAGCCCTGGCCTCATAATTTAATCATGCTGTGAAACAAAATTTAATTAGAACCACCCGAAGAAGGGAGGGCAGAGATTGGACTGATTAGAGGCGAACCACGGACGCGCATTAATGCGCATATTGTTTTCGTCTTCAAGAGACCTGACAAGGAGGGCAGACGTGACTGAGCCTTGCCTGGTGAGAAAATTAGGCCCGACAGTCGCCCGCAAGGGCACTGATTGAGGGCGGATGAACGGGTAATGGTCTGAGGCTTAACGACTCAAGGGGTTTAAGTGAGCTGCATTTTGGTTATTTCCATTGTCGACGTTGTTCCATTTTTGATGCGATGGCTCGAGTCGCTTTTCATCAGGGTGGTTTCAGAGTGGTCATCTGTGCAGCCAACTGAGCGATGAAAAATTAACGCGATTTAAGCAACACGCTGATATTACGGCAAAAAATATCATTAATGCTAATGCGCTCCCATGACCTGTTTAGCGGAGATGAGTAGGTGGCTTCGGTTTATTTTCGTGTTAGCTTGAGAACGCAATCAGTCACCTACGTGTAACGCTTTTCCATCAAAAATGAATCGCCGGGAAACTGCATTTTCAGGGCCCTTTGATCCCCTACAATTGACCCGTACGTTTACCCTACCTTGTTGGTTTTGCCTTCGAAAAAACAGCAGGTGAAAAACTAACGAGATTTTTCATGTTCTGCACCAATAAAGGGTGACTGCTGACCTTGACTTTCTTCAAACCAAAATTAGACGTAAAGTCATAAAATGGTTAGTTTGCCTGTGGGTTGCCGCTGAGCCTACCGTGTGTGTGCGTGTGTTAATGGTTCAACGTGGGAGTAGATGGGAACGGGCGATAACCACGGGGGTTTTCGCTTGGCCAGCGTTGGCGTAAAATCACAGCGGCGATAATAACTTCCAGAGTGGTTGTCCACTTCGCTGTGGTAGTCGCACGCTAATCCACCATATCATCGGCAAAATTGTGGCTAAAGTAACCATTTGTACTCCGCCGGTCACTCGTCCAAGCGAGAATGATTAATTCGTCCGTCCAATAAGCGTGTCGGTGACTGAGACCGTTTACTTTAGGAAAATGGCACAACAAGTAAGGTGACAGTGCCGCCATAACTGGGAATTACTTCCATCTAGCCAAATCGAATGGACCCCTGTTTTCTCGAAACGCGCAATTTTAAGGCTCAAGAAGGCATGGTAATTGGAAATTTAGCGTTACATTCCTTGTTACTTCACTGTAGCATACGTTCGGCAGCAATAGAAATACCGATCAAAGCTTTTGAAAATTTAGAAGTCAACAGGTATTTACTGCACGACATTCGACTACATCGTCTTCGATTCTTCAAGACCTCCGTGGCATCGATTCTGTGAAGTAAAAACAGCAAGTGCGGGTTCCCTTTTCTGTACAAGTCCGTCTGAGGTGGGAAGGTAATGATAACAGGTGTTTAGGCATCACCATGGCAACGTGGCCGCACACACCACCCTGAAACCCGACTGGAGCCAGACTATGGGGTCTAGCCTGGAGACAGGTGAAATGAGGAGAGGGATGGCTATTGTAAACACTCTTGTTAGGGTTTGGCAAGTCAATCTTATTTCGAACCGATCCCACGCCACACCTGCTGCCACGTCTGTCCCGGGCGTGGGAGCATGATTTAAACAAAACTTGAAAAGGTTCTACTCTGTACCCAGTTCCCGTTCACTCTTCAACAATAGGCAAATTTCGGACAACGTGGCTTTTTCGCGATGCCAGCTCCATATCCGAAATTAATGGGAGAACTGAAAAATCTTATCACGCTAGCATACAACTTCATTTTGTGGTCTTGCAAACACTAGCAATAAGCATGGAGATTAAGAAATAAAGGCTGAAAGCACAATGAACTGAGAATGATAATGTTATTACACACCAGCAAATGGCCACAGAAGGCTCATTGTAACCATTCGGACGGATGGGGGTGAAAGCAAGCTTTGCATGCCGAAGCGAGTTCACCATGTCGATGTAAAAGGGAACTGCGTTTTATGGCCTTGCGTGACATCCCTAAGAATGTCCGAATCGCGTTTTTGTGTGCATCCAGGTAAGATCAAAGGGAAACTCACATCCCTGACCCGGATAAGCATTAACCATGGAGAGCGCATTGTCATAATTACGCGCGCACAGGACAACTGGTGTCCAGTTTTTGGTCGCAGACCTGCCGTTCAGTCTAGGCGACAGATGTCTGATTCTCTTGATGAATTTGCGATGCCCAACATTTGGTGGAGCGTTTAGCATGCCTCCATCGTCCATTTGAAGTCCACATGACGCAAATATTGCCCTTTCTTAACCACGTTTTGTAAAAGGGTCATTTGCCTTAGTGAACGACCCGACCACTTTCCTATCTTGGATCTGGATTAGCTTTGTCACTGGGATTTAAGAAGTCCATCGGATGCAGTGTGTTGTGTGAGGGGACAAACGTTGATTTAAATATGTTAGAAAACTTAAAGTTACATTAAACTGTTTGGAGACAAGGCCAACATGATTAATCTTACAAAGAATTTTCCCATTTTCCTAGTTTATGCATTTACAAAGGGGAATATTCACGACACAATAGGCCTGACTTTCGATGATGAGCGTGGCAAAAACCACTCCGATGGAGTTTTCTTGACAATTATAATGAGCCTCATTCAAAAACATAGGTTAATCCTCAGACGTAGTACAAACCTTCGTCAGGTTTGTGGTTTTCGAGCATTAAATGAATGGCATGTTGGGTATGTGGTTTGTTTGCGATTAAACAAATGTTCAGTGAAGCCTGGGTTAGTGTAAAAGAGAGCGTGCGGTGAAGGAGGAACTAGGTGTATAAGTGGCAAATTAAATAATAACACCAACTGTGTGCGCAATGTTTTTAACGACAAAGCACGAAGAAAGGAAGTATTAGCGACAAAAGACAGCTTTTAGCGACGCTAAATTGGTGGAGATGTGCTAACTTCTGTTAGGTAGAGCCGATTTATTAAGTTCAAAAGTGGTCGTTTTGAGTGCATCGTGAATATTGACTTAAAATTGTTACATCTGATTGTAATTTCTATTTTAAATTCTCTGAACAATTTAACTTCACTAGTTTTGGGGACAAAATTTAGTGCAACACACGGAATTCTTCTCTTGCCTGTTCTCAGGGATAGGGCATCTTAAATCGGTTAAAGTAAACAAAAGGCCAGTGAATCGGGTGGAACGAAGCTTTAGTTCCAAACAAACGCACGATGTCATATATTCGCCCAATTCATAAAAAAGTTTCTTTTTGTCGAACGAGGAAGATCAAATTCACAAGCTTCCACATTTAGCAGCTTCGGTTTGGCTGATCATGTCCTGGTTATCGCATTAAGTGTTGAGGTTGGAATGCCATATCTCTGCCGAAGTGATATGGTACCTTTCACGAGGTGCAGAGTCGCTGTTTTCAGAAGGAAATTTTGCAATGATCCCAGTTGCACAGCACTAACTGCTTCCAGAGTGCACAGTCTTCAGAGCTGGCGAGACAACTGAGAAAAACCACTAAGAAAAACGTGCACGCGTAGAAACTTGGGGTGACCGGCCAGAGGAACGCGGGAGAGAGAGCACACTGAAACCGCTTATTGGTGTCGGCAAACATGAAAGCCCCAGCAAGAGTCACCGCACCAACAACAAATGGAGAACTTGACCATAAAAAAGGAAGGTACAGCACGGTGTTAAGGAGGCAGCTGTTAACGAATATTTGTCCCCGCCTAAAAATTCGTAAAAACGGGCCGAACGACAAGACCTGGCGATCACCGAAAACGAAGCACCAAAAAGACACCTTCGAATACCACGAAGCATTAGACTAAAACCTGATGTTCTTCGCTACTGGTTGGGTAGTTGGTAAGATCTAACAAGGAACAATCAACAAAGTGTCAATATTAATGCTGGTTGCCCTCAAAAAGTGTTAACCATGAGCCTTTTCAACTGATTTGGGCTGGTTTGAAAGACCAATAGCTGCACGATTTCGCTGCAGCACACTCCTCAACGAAACAATGTTTCTAGCCACAGGCCACTGAAACTTCAGTTTGACAACTTACATCAACATTCTAGACGTTGTTTCAGACGCAGGTTAATGATTTGTATCTCTTTTTAGATTAATGTGCTAAATTAAGGACCAGACATGCTGTCGTCGCTACCACTGGCAACATACGTCATCGTTGGACTGTTTTTGGCGACAGGGCCCACAATTGCGGAGGTGCTGGAATTGCAGACAACTGAAGAATTGCCCATTGGATCTGTGATAGCTGACCTGAGGACGCTTCTTTCGAAAACCGGCAAGATGTTGGATTTGCAGTGGACAGCGTTTAAGGCGATGGGCTCTGATGACATCGGAAACCGGCTCTTTGAAGTACACTTTCCATTGCTTAAACTTCAAATCTCTGTAGATAGAGGGAGACATTTGTATTTAATTGCTTTTAGTCGGTGGTTTTAGGGGTTAAATAATAATACGCTACTCCCCTTTAAACATTAATCGACAGTTAGTACAATTGAAGTCGCTTAATTACATGTCAAAGAAGACATTTAGCAATCGTGTTAATAAAAATAACTGTGCGTGCATGCGACTAATTACATTTCGTTTACTCCGGGCCCATCAAACATTAAATTAACTCAGCTATGTCTCAAGCTATTTGGTTATAAATTTGCTTCTCCACTCGCTAGCTCATACCTTCCTTGAATCAGACGTGCGGTTGCCAGATCATCACTATTTTTAAAGCGTTGAAAAAACCTGCCGTAAATTTCGACACACAGATCAAAATATGAACTTTCAGTATTCCTTAAGATCACACAGCCAGTTTCTCGATATTGCTATTTACTATTTCGACTATGTTATGTACACAAGAGAATTTGTCAAGCCTAACGCTCTTGCCTTAAATCTGGACACTCTATAAATGCGAACATTCCAAAGTGATTTTTGTCAAGCTACTTCTGGTACATTCGATTAAACTTACTAAAGGCGGACAAAGGGCTGGATGAGTTTTTTTCATTGACTGGAGGCAATGCAGTTGTTTTCAAAATTTTGATACTTTGATGGATAATGGCTTGCAAGAGCAATTGTCCAAACTTTAGTAATTTAATGGGAACCTGCGAAACCTCTAAGGGTAGTTTTTCCAATTAGCCTCAGGCTGTGAAATGTTATAACGCTTTGGTTTATCGTGATGTAGGTGACGCCAGAGGGCAAACTCGTTGTCAGTCACCGGATTGACAGGGAGAGGCTGTGCCCGCTCTACCCCCTCTCAGTGCTTCCCGGCCCACAGTCAAGCTTCAGCAGTTCCCCACGCGATACCTTCGGTTTCAAGTCGCACTCTGGCCTCCCAGCGAGCTTTGTGAGCAGTGGCCAGTGCGTTTTCACTCTTCAAGTGGGCGTTATTGAAAAAGAGGAGGCCCATACACCCTCAACCCTACCCAGCATTCACCAGGTCCGTGTAACTGTGCTCGACGTCAATGACCAGGCCCCCTTCTGGCCTGAAAATCTGCAGCGTCACGTTGTCGAGTTTCGTGATGGTGACCCAGTAGGGCGACGGCAGTCCCTGCCGCTTGCCATTGATCTTGATCAGGGAGAGAACGCAATAATCACCTATAGCCTCGAACAGGATCCGGCTGAAGAGTCTTCTATGGAGGGATGGACCCCGATTCCCTTCACACTAATTCACGATCAATCCGAGGGAAGTTTGTACCTCCAGACCGAGAGAGAGATCGACCACGAGGTGACTAGCTCTTATAAACTCCTCCTGAAAGCTGTTGATGGAGTTGGCAAAGGCATGCCAAATTCCGTGGTCACAGAACGTTTTCTTCGGCCGCACACTTCCACGCTAGCTCTGACAGTGGTGGTCCAGGACATCAATGATAATGACCCAAAGTTCACACAGGCTGTTTTTACACCCGACCGTCCAATTTCGGAGACAACGCCTGAGGGATCAGTTATTCTTAGACTGAAGGCGACTGATGCCGATTCAAAGGAAAACGGTCCCCTTCAGTTCGGGTTCGCTCCGAATGTTGGATGGCGATCCATCGACGCACTGGCTCAGCATCTTTTTGACGTGAGACCAAATGGAAACGTTGTGGTTAGGCGTTCACTGGACGTTGATCGCCAATGGAAATTAGTGGATGATCTTAAGAACAACGCAAACCCAGGCCTTTATAACAGCGAGAACAACAACAAGGGAATAGAGTTTAGCTTCAAGGTAGTCGTAGTGGATGGAACGGACTCAAGATATGCGAGGTCGTCGGAGGCAATGGTGAACATAATGGTTGTGGATGAGAATGATGAAGCACCTGTTATTGAGGTCATGCGGCCGACAACCTCCAGTGAGTGCATTCAGTCACTCGGGAGGCCAACAGGAGTCACAGCAGGTCGCTCGTCTACCCAGACCTCCTATGCCTGTGTTTTTGAGAACGCACCCGTAGACACATTCCTAGCTACTGTCCAGGTAATTCGATTGAACCTAAACTTGCTATTTGCACACGTTCTTTTCAATTTCCAGACAAGATCACAATTTAGTCGAACGAACAATTGAGTTGAGAGCGTTCCAGGCTCCCGGATATGTTTAGGTTATGCTAGCAAAGTTTTACTTGAGAAAATCGGCAATTTCCTCTTAGTATACCAGATGTGAGGAGTTAAATTAATCCAGAAATACGCCTCACGGCAACCCTAAACGACAATCGCCTTGGAAATCGAGGCTGTGATTTTACACTCCTTTTTCGACTGAAAAACTTATCGTGAAGTTATTCAGACTGTTATGTGTGCAATTTATTTTTTTCTGCCAGCATCAGACACACCCGATAAATAAGTTCAAAAAACACTTCAAACAGGCACGGGAGGAGGGAATTTTATGCACTCTGCGTTTTTCCTTGGAAATGGCATTCCCTTCGGGGTTACTGCCTGACCTGGAGTTTCTGGAGGGAAAAGCAGGCCTGGGCTTCGTGAGACCGGAAAAAACAACTGTTGTCGGTCCACTAGCTGCATAAATTTTGCCACCGACCCTCACATCGAATATGGCATTGCGCCGGGTTTTAATGGCATCATTAATTATGACTACGGTTTGCCTGCATTGGGATTTCTTCTAGGTGCAAGACTTGCATTTCGACGGTGATATTTAGGTCTCTGTGTTACAGGATTTTGATGCCATGTAGTGTATCCTGTGCACAGTCAAGGCCCAGTGCACTCTAGCCGGCTCTCGCAGTGCACGCACTGCGACTGCTTCAGGCCATGAAAAGTGTACGAATTTTATTTCGTCAAAAATGAAACAGAATTTGAGTGTCCTTAGGGGAATGCTTTCACTAAACACTGCAAAAATGAACCCAATATCATTGCGTTTTTCTAAATAATCATCCATTTAGTACTATTCAAGAGTTTTAACCAGTTCTGTCTATCCAAAAGTAACCCACTTTTTAATGGTGACGCGAACCCGTAGGGCAGTAGTACCCATCACCAATAGTAGGGATTAACCGTAAAAAAAGCAGGCTATAAATATGGAAATCCAGGTTCCTCGTTTTGACTATATTCAAAACGGTCAGTTAAACCTGGTTGAGTTATCTCGATTGAAGAGTTAATTTCCACAAACGGAGCAAGCATAGTGTGCAATTAGACTAAATTTTTCTGCACTAGGTGAGTGATTTGGATTTTCGGGGTGAGGATGAACATGAGTGCGTGCTGGACAACAAAAATTTCTCTCTCATTGCCGAGGAGAACGCCAACACACGTCTCTCTGCTAATCAGCTAACTCACGTCTTCAGCAGTCAGGCTGTGAAGAGTCCCGGTCTGTCGCAGTACGCCATTCTAACGGCCACTTCTCTGGATAGGGAGGACACGCCGTTCCAAAGGATCCAGATCATATGCAGCGACCGGGCTCACCATCAATCCACGCACAATATTACTGTCTTAGTGGGAGACATCAACGACCATAAACCGCAATTCACTCAAACCCTAATGACGTATCAGGTCCCAGAAAATGCTCCTTCTGGAACTGTTTTGAAACCTGTGGCCGTTGGACCTACGAGAACCACGACAACTTTGGCTACTGATGCGGACGTCGGAAGGAACGGGCTAGTGAAGTACAGTTTTACTGAGAAATCACAGAGTGCGGACAAATTTTCAATCGATCAATTTACCGGTTTGATCTCAACTCGGGTGCCGTTTGACCGGGAGGCAAATGGAAAGTTTGTTCTCAGCGTCGTGGCTGTAGACCAGGCCGATGGAGGAAACGCATTGACGGGAACAGGAACTGTGGAGGTCATTGTCCTTGACGTAAATGATAACCCACCAGTGTTTGCTCAAGAGACATATACCTTCCAGATAGCCGAAAATCTTCCCCGGGGAACTCGTGTGGGTCAAGTAACGGCTGTCGATCTTGACGACCAAGGACCACTCGCATATTATTTCAGCAATGACCACGATGCACTAGTCTTTCAAATAGATCGCTCGTCAGGGGAATTGTTTACTAGACGACCACTTGATCGCGAGGAGCAGTCAAACTACACTTTCAGGGTGCTGGTTCGAGATTTTGTGACAGCGTCCGGAGGAGCGGAGAAGAAGACCTTTACAGCGACAGCCACGGTCACAGTTGTCTTGGAAGATGTCAATGACAACTCTCCGGTTTTTGTTCTCCCAAACGCCACCGCAAACACGCTCACCGTGGCCGTCAGTCAGACACTTGGGCACAAATTAGCAGTTATTATCGCAAATGATGCGGACGAGGGGGACAATGGTAGGGTGACCTACAAGATCAAAGCCGGCAATTCTCTCAACCTTTTCAGCATCGATCCCCAATCTGGTCTTCTCTTCCTCGCTGATTCTTTATCGCGTTTAAATGAAGCCAATGATAATGCAACCACCGATGAAGCTACCGCAGCCAGAGTAATCCAGCTCTCCACACAAACAACAGTGCATGTTCTCACATTAGAAGCTTGTGACAATGGCGTGGAGTCCAGATGTACAGTTTCCCCAAATCTCCGAATCCATGTCCAACCGGAGCGAAGGTACAGGACGGCAGCGGAACACAATCGATTAGGCGGTGGTCCACGGGACCCAAGTAGTCAAATGCATAATCAGGAGGGAGAATCGCACACCGACGAGGAAAGACAGACGAGTTGGAACAGTGCGAATCCTCCTGCAGTCCACGCAGATGCCAATGGATTTCGAGGATGGTCAAACGGTTCGAGTGAAATTGTCATCATCTGCATGTCGGTGCTCTTTGTGATCCTCCTAGTCGCCATCTTAGCTTTGACGCTATTGTTACGCAACTGCAAGTTTGGACCTGCAAAACAAATGTCAGGTGAGACTTTCTGATTACGCATTCGTTTTGTTCCTTTAATGAAATTTTGACTTTACATCTAGTCTGTTTAGGCGCAAGTCAAGCGTGTATTAGCGCATCCAGAGATCAGTTGTTTATAGTGTCAGATTTGTGTGAAAATTAGGCTCTCGTGAAAACCTGCTATAGCTTTTTACGTTTGGCCGATGAAGACAAAGCACGATTGCAACCTGGTTCCTGTTTCTACTTTTCCATGCAATTTTGTGAAGGTAATTTAAAAACTTGAAACCGAATCTTTACTGATTGATTCGCCACTTAAAATTGCGTAAACACGTGCAAAAGTGGGCAATGAAGTCTTCTCCATACTGCTCATCATAAGTTCTGACATCCATAATCGATAAATCCTACCAGAAGATTCCACAATTTGAAAAAAGGGCTAAATTTTATTGACCCAAAATCCTAAAATTAGATATTCAACATTACCTAGATAGATGTGTATAATTTGTGTACCAGTTTTATTTTACCTTTACCCGTTGTTTTAAAATGTTGTCATCTAAATACATAAACCAAAAATTTGTGTGCTTAACATGTGATGCTTTTTTAATCCAATCAGCTAAATCTATTGATGAAATTGCAACAGAAATTTTGCCTGATTCACTTATTAAAGAATTCTTTTCCCCCAAATGGTTTACTTAGGCTGTTTTTTTCAAAACCTAAGAGAAATTAGTTTAAATTTGCCTTAACATTATTATATTTAACTAATCCTTTTCGAATTTGTTTCTACATTTGGCGCAATGGCAGAGGATCATGTGACGGCTTCCCATAAAGTCAAGTTTCGTTGTTTTGAAGCTTTAATAGTGCCACACTATGTCATACAACTTCGAATAAATCTGCTAACACCACAGAATTTTCTGCTTTTACTGATCCAGCGGAAAATTTAAATGAAGTCTGGTCCAATGCCCTGTGAAAAATTGTCCTAAATTACCAAAAAGGCATATTTTCGTTCAAAAAATGCAAAAAAAGTTTGGCTTCAATTTGGCATCTTAATACGTAGTTTCTTTTCCCGCTTGACAGTCTCAGCAACGCAGCGCAGTTTAAGTCGCTCCAAAACCCCCACCTACCTAGGCACATTGCCTTCGTCACCATCGGGACATGAAGTCGCCGAGTCCGTGGTTGGAACTCTGAGTCCAGCACCGCCAACAGGAGTGATTCAGAGTCAGTCCGAGATGATTCTTTGCCGTCGGCCTGGAGGCAGTGGCATTCAACAAAGCCATTCGTTCTTCGAGATGCCAAAATCGATGACACAGGAGTTTACCACATTCGCCCAAGTCTGTCCCCAGGCACAGATAGAGGGCTACCAAGGGAGTGGCAAGAAGCAAGCTGACGGAGCTGGAAATGCTGATGTTTCCTTCCCTGTCAAATACACTCGCATTCCCAATAATAGAAGAGTACGGATGGTTTATAATCGATTAATTCAATTTTAGCCTTCCTGATCGTAGTCCCTCCTACTGCTAACGCCTTCTACCACCAGTTGTACAAAAAAAACGCTAGTATAAAATTCTTTGGAAGTTATTTAATAGTGTATTTTCGAAAGAAGGCTTGAATTAAAGTGTATTGGTGGACGCCTGTAGGTGTTTTAAACTAAGCATTGACACAGTGGTTAACCCATGCAATATAACGGTTCTCATACATATCCTGTCTTTGGTACACTACGATTAAAGGGCAAGGAATAAGATATTTGTTGAAGGTAATTCATTTTCATTCAGATCTGGCAGGTGTCCTCTTAAAAACAGGTTCTCTTAAGGCTAAAAAGGATTTTTTAAAATATCAGCCGACACTTCAAACTTTTTCACCACCAGGTACATTTAAAAATAGTAAGAAACGGATATTTGGAGTTCCTTGGAAAGTATAGGTTTGAGGCAACATGTAAAATAGTAAAATGGGATATAGAATGGGAATTTGGAGTTATTTATGTTGTTTCCTAACTACTGACAACTGTGTAAAGATACGTATGGCAGAGACCAACAACATCATTTCAACGGTAGAGTGAGAATCTGGAATTTTGGGGACTTACATGACTTATTTTCTTCAGATTGCGCCTCCAGTTGTGGACAAAATATTTGTCAGTCACCCCTACGCAGTGCCGGGCAACGATGCTGTCTGCTATGGTAAGTACGAATGTGAAGATTTCTGTAACAAGCGTTTACTAGTAATCAGAAAACCGCAGATTTCTGTTTTGTGCTACCAAAAGTGTTTAATTTTTAAAAGACGATCACCCCAAAAGCAAAATTTCGACAAACTCATATTATGAATAATCTAGTATACAGTTAGTATCCAGAAAGCACGAACTCATATTCTGGACTACTGTTCTTACAAAATGTTTTTCTCACTGACACACACTTCATCAAATTTATCCTCTGATGCATTAGTAATTTTCTCAAACTGCATATATTAACATTGATGTTGTGGCTATGTTCATGGTTAACGTTCTGTTACAGACAAGGATGGTTTAAATCAGTTCCCACAATTGCCTACAATAAGTGGGCTTACTTAATGAGGCGTAATTACGTTGGCTGCTAAAGGTACTGAGGTTAGCTATGTCCCGGTATTTGACGAAATACACAATAATTTATGAAAGAGGAGGTAGAGGAACCAGAAAGATCAAGGACTTTCATTTCTTAGGTATCGTGGGTTAAAATCCTTACTAGTGCTTACTTCGTGAATCTCAAAGAGTCGGCATAGGTGCGGACTTATTCCTGAACTCACTACGGCCGCCTTTCACAAAAGTGGTTGTTGTAGCAGCGTAGTGAAATCACAATCGATTTCACATACAAAATTATCTGTTATAGACGCTTCAGTTAATTCAAGGTCATATTATGGACCTAATTCAGTAGTCAAACACTTATCTGTAAGAACAGCTACGCATAAGTTAAATCACATTGTCTGTTTTGCTTGCTGGGCAAAAAAGTCAGCTACATAACCATCCAATTAGGCAGTGAAAGACTTTTTCGTGCAGAAGGAGTAACGGTTTGGGAGCAAAAACCATCCAACCATATCTAATGCAAACATTTGCCTCCTGCCTTAAGCCCTTTGCCATGTAATGTACGGATGTGTTGTGGCGACGGTGTTGGGCATGTGTGTCTGCACGGGTCACGCAAACAGCTGGTATTTATGGTCAGAGAGGAAACAAGTGCTCCCTCCTCCCGATTCCCCAGAACCACCACTGGGTCTTTTTAGTGAATGATGAATGCGCGGTCTGGGGGAACAAGCGTGCGTGCAGTCAAGGTCTTCGCCAGTATTAATGATGCGTGCTTTGAGTGGTTAATGCAGGGAATTATTAAACGCAGTTTAGTCATCCGAGATTCCCAAAAGTGATACTATTTACATTTAAAATAAACAATTTTTACTTATCTTGCTTGCATTCTCCGCTTTTGCATTCCAATTTAAATAATTAGCTTTAACAGCAGCAGCCATATAAAAATCTTTGCAGCGATTAAAATGTTTATAATACTGGAACATAAGTTAAGTTCGGGCGACATGCCCAACCTCATGAATAGGCTTATATTTGAAAGAGCCTTTAATTCATCAAAATTTTTGTGCTCAAGTTAAAATCATTTACCAAACAGCTGAGTTGTTTGAATAAAACCCACAAAACATTCTTAGTTGACTGATCCCTGTTTTGTATCACTCTTTCTTGGGGTAATAGTCTACCACTTGGGCTGCCGTCAAAAATACAAAAACGTGTTATCTAAAAAAAGCCAAATGTGCTGATTTAAAAGTGCATTGGCTTATCAATTAGTGATACATTGTGGAGATCAAAAATGACGCATTTTTGATCCCAATTTGTACCTATTCATTCCCATCTATAAACAAAAGTTAAGGGAACACTATAGCAATTTCAGTTCCTGCTTCATTTGTAACTCATACACTGGCATTTAGATAATGATTTAATGCAAGATAAGAGACATAGGCTAAGCTATAGAGAGACTAAAGAATGCATTCTGAGGAACTTAGGAAGCGGTACAAGGCATCCGATTGTTTGTTCCTTTGAAATGGAAGTCATTAAGAGAAGGACAGTTGTCTCTACATTCAGACATTTGTGCTACGAATGACCAGACCAACAATCAATTATACTGGCTTACGAATTCTGAAATTTCAAGTCAAGGTTCTAATGCATGTTGCTTGGGGGCAGATTTGACACACAAACCTGTTATGCCATGATTTATAGACAATTCCTACATGGAAAGTTCTGGCCGATTCGACAATAAGTTAAGCGATGAAGGACAAAAGGTACTACTGGACTAGCTCTAATTTCAAATGTAGCCTGTTTGGCATCCCAACGATTACTTTGAAGTTGCTTTCTAGTTGAAACCAGTTTCCCAACTTCACGATAGTTTCTTTTTTGGTTATAACTTATGAAACCTCTTTTATATCTTGCAGTAGTTTCGATCCCTGATTAATAAATCCCTTTTTGAGTGAATAATTTAGCGACCTACCTTGGTAGAGTGGAGTAAAACACTACTGATTCTGGTGGCCCATTTTCAGTAAGAATTCAAACAATGTATTTGAGAACGTGAAGCTAGAGTCCAAACTAACCCTACACAATGGCTGTGTAATCACAATCAGAACTCACAAGAAAGCACAGCCAATTCGTAACCCGAGAAAGAGCATTTCTGGGAAGTACATCGCAACCAAAGGTGTGCAAACTAGTCCGATTGCCCAGAGTAAAAAGCTGAAAGACCGCATTTCAAATCTTAATTGTTTGAATGCCCTGCAAATTACATAGGTGGTCGAATGTTCGTTTTACACGCATGATGACCTGTAGTGATGGAAGTTTTATTAACCGATATCAGCTGACACGTATGGGAACACAAACTCATCATATTTTTATGGTTGCCAATGAACTCAGATCCACGGATCAGTTTTTTTCAAAATACCTATTAATCAGTTGGTTCGATCAAGTTATCCATTAGCCACTTTCTATGTGGGATGCTGTGATTATTAAGCAAAGCAAAAGTGCTGTAGATACAAAAGTTGCGAGTATTTTTGACGCCCTGATCATTGTTAAAAGGATAATTTTCTTCATGTACTGGATTGTACTGTCTTAGTAAGAGAGAATGTGTGAGCACCTCATTAACTGAAATATGTCCCTTCACACATCGGCGCGTTACAATCACCCCGAAATTTCAAACCATGCAGAGCAAGTTCAAAAAGTGAGTATACGACTGTCCGGGTGTGCAATGTGTCAGTGTCTAGATTTTTTAATCAGTCAGCAGCTAGAATGATGAAATTTATCAATCTCAGTAGAGTAAACTATAAAAAAACAGACTGCAACGGCAATAACGTTGGTTTAAACTCACAGGTGCTTTAACTGGATAGTTGAAAGAAAGTGGACACATAAACTTTTTTAAAACTAAGTTTTATAAAACTGACAGGAACCCAAGCGAAGTCATTCCATTCATTCCTTGTCTAAGTGTGGACGTTTTTCTTCCCAAAAATGTAGTTGCATCCATTCTTCTTATGCTTAGGTGAATACCAGGCACTTCAAGCGACAAGCTTGTATGCCCTAGAGAAGAACTTGGACAGAATGGAAGGCCAGCCTCGTCTGCCCAATTCCCATTCCAATCCACCTCCTCAACTTAAAATGTTTGGCCAGAATCTCTCGTGTGTCCCTCGATTTTTGGCCACGGGAGGGCGGCCAGCAGCTCAGAGCGATGACAGCTTCCCAATGCAGCACGTCGTCGACGGCCACCCACAAGTCACCTACACATACAATCGTTACGTCGGTCTGAAACCTAACCAACCCCAGCACCAACCAAGCAAGGCGAATACTGTAGATCCGAGGTTCTTCGACCAAAAGCGACAACAAGCCCAGCCAGTACCTCAGAGGATCTATGTCCGAGACTTCCCGCGTTCCAGATCTACCCACACGGTGGCAGGCGGCAAACAGGAGGAGAGTGTGGAAAGCTCCGAAGGCGTCACATTTAAATCTACCGATGAATGTGGAGAGGACAGCATGCTCCTTCTTCCTGAGGCTGAGGGGCAATCCGAAATGAGCGAGCCCCTTTCCGGCAATGACGCATCCGGCGCCAGCAAAGGCAATCTCTTTGTAGCCTCGGAGGATCAACAGCAGATGAATAATGCAAACAACAACAAACTAATCGCTTCGGCATACCGGGAGGCCAGTTTTGTTTAAGTGAATTCGGCTAAGGCGTTCACACTATTTAATACTCAAGTTTGTATGTATTTATATTATTTGTGTAATTAAAGAAATATTTAATCACTTGTACTGTGAAGTATTTTTCATTTGAGCGTCACGAAAATGTTGCATACTCCTATAAGTAAATAAGTCCTTGACTGCAGATTTTAAACGAAAAAAGGACCGCTTGTACACAATGCTAAACCTTCACTACAACCTGTAAGTTTTTTGCAGGGAATAAAAAATAAACCTGAATTTCTTCACACGTTTAAGCTCCTTACGTGACCTTCAACTCAAACAGGTTCTAAATCTAGGCTTTTTAGGTCGAGTTTATAAAAATGAATTTGATATACGGTCAGTAGGATTCGGAATGGTGAATCGAAATAACCAAGCGCCTCTTTTGTTCTGGATATTCTTCAAGCCTTCAGATGATTTATCCAGCACAAAATGAAAGCTGGAATTTTCAGATAAATTACCCTCAACCCAGACCTGTCGGTTCTCATGTAGCTTCGCGTAAAATGCCACTTTTGTCAGCATTTTGCACAGTGCTAATAAAAGACAGCTAATTAAAATGGAGAGAAAGGAGTAATTAATGAGCACGTAAGCACGGCATACGAACACAGCGCTTACATTAATGTGGATAATTTTTCATGTAAGTTAGGAGGCACCGATCACTGATTTTAGCTTGCAGGGAAAACGTGAGTTGTTTCCTGGCAAGCAAAATTAAACTGGACAATGTTTAAAACGTATTTGTTGGTTGGTGAAATAATTTCTGCAGATTAAAAGAGTTCTTTAGGCGAGGCTTGTAGTCTAAGATACCAAATTAAAACACCGACAACAGAAAAGGTTCTGGAAGATTATAAAATTAGAAAATACAAATTGGTGGATATTTTGCCGTCGTAACAGTCATTGGACAGATATTGTACACACAACTGAACCCATTGTGCAGGGCTATTGGCGTCTATAAGGCCTTCAAAACAGAATTTAAGGAAATAGGCACCTTTATAAGCCCGGACTGTGTCCGATCTCTCTGAGCCAGGCTTGTGTTCAAACCATCAAGGCCATTATCGTGCTAGTGCCAAGACCTGGTTTATGAGAACAGGACCTAATCGCACAGTTCTGAATGGCTGGTTATTGGCAGGATTTTAGTCCCTTGTTTGTGTTTACATTTACAAACTAAATCCTATCTCTATTTTAAGTTTAATTTTGTTTTTTTTTCGGTAATAGGAAGGACCATAAAAATGTGAATGCATAGCTACGTATCACACTGCGACACGTTCAAGCGGTTAACGGTATCCTGTGCCCATATATGTTAGGTGTCAATATATTTTAAAGTTTACTTCATAAGTTGAAATAAAGGTGTACGTCAATTTCTGTCAAATTTTAGTAAAAATACCCCAAAATATGCACGTGGGAATAAAAAACCTTGATTCAGGTCTGAATGATGATTACGAGAGCAGAGTTTTCAAAATTACCATACAAGTAAAATGACTTAAACAGAATTTATTAAGAGAAATATGCCTTTGGAAATTCAGGACTGGACTCCTGTCATGTTTCACGAGAACATATGTTGCGAAATGGCTTGAAGAGGTCAATTTAAATAATCCCATGCACACGCAGTGTTTCCAGAGTTTGGCATTGGAGGTGTGGCCAGTATTTTGGGGACCATTATTCTCTTATCAATAATATTCTTGTCCATAAGATTACCAAACACAGAAGAAGCAACCAACAGCTCAAAACTTGAATTCGCCGTATTAAATACGGGTAATTTACTCTTTAAAGCTTTCGACGAGTCCAAGGCATTATGTCTACCCTGCTTAGTCACTTAAGGTGGACTTCAGCCCCTGGTTATGTGTGTTCTGAGCGGGGCGACAAGGCAACTTCTGCAGAGAATTTAAAATCAAAAACAACTATCCTGCTCAGATCTTTGTGATGTTAATAAATATTAATTTTTGGGTAATTTATTTTAGGCATGTTGAGGCTAATTTTGAAGCAAAATATATGCTTATTTTTACTTCAGAGTGAGGCATTAAAAATTAAGCCCACAGAATAACCATTTATTGCCAAAGTTGAAATAGTTTTTACTAAGGAAGTAGTTTTACTAACTTAAAAAGAGCCCTTCTAATTACTTTTATTCATAAGAAACTATGAAATGTAAGTGAGACTCACGAACTTCTAAACTGAGGGAAAATATGACAAACAAATATGTATGCAGTCTTGCCCTACCGCTAATATGGTGTTCTCAGACTTACTTCAATAGGTTTGAATTACTGCAAGCTAGTCGAGCTGCTCACTTGATTAAAACTGGCACACTTCTTCTGGTCGTTTGTTGCTTACTCAAAATTGTTCCCGGAATCTGAAACCTCAGAAATTCACGAGGACTTGCCTTGAAAATCCTAATCGGTCTCACAGGATCGGTGTAAGTGCCATATGTGAAGTCTGTTCCTCTACTTCCGAAATTTGGATACATGGCCGATGGACGAGGTTTTATACTTGAGGACTTAAATTGGGTTGGACTTGTGTACAGGTGAACGCCTCACCCACTTTTGTTAGTGTGATTCTTGTTAGTTTCTTACCTTTATTAATAACAGCAGAATACGGCAGGTGTGTTGCACTCCATGCGATGAATTCTCATTACGACTTAAAGACTGCCCGAAGCAGAATGATGGATCAACTTTCCAATTTTTGGGAGAGCCTTCCCAGTGAAAATCAAAGAACTTCAGCACCTAAAGCAAGTGAAAGTCATTCACCCTGTGTTGAATAAGGAATGCTTGTTTACAATAAATAAACGGTCTGTAACCAGTAAGGCCCCTTGTGAATTGCACACAACGGACTCTTTTAATATTCGGTTGGAATTATTTCATGACAGCATTTAGCAAAACCACCAATACCAGATTTATCCAAACGAAGGTTTGGCTCGATCCATCTAGAGTAAACGAGGTTGCCGTTATTCATTATTCAATTTGAGACTTAAACGAGTCTCTACAAGATCAATTTACCTTAATTAGTAACCTCTGCCACACAATTTTTCCATCTCAAGGTGAAATTTCCTGCTATAACATTATAGAATTGGGTACCTATGAATGAGAGGTTTCATCTAGCCAAATGTTAACAAGGGACATGATATTATGCCTCATTTAATGCATAAGTAGTGGAACATTGCGGTATTGCTTGGTATTGCTTAAAGATCATATTTATAGACTTATAAGATTCATCTCAAAAATCCTGTCCTCTTTATTCGCTCTATGTACAACGATTATATCTCCCAGATTTAGCAAATCCAAAATGCGCAGTATGGTGCCGGTGTTTCGATGTTTGTCACCTTCTATGGCCTGAAAATGAGGTTGTAAATGAAACGACTGAAACAAAGTGCCCAAAACTCGATTCAGGCTTCTTTTTTTGACCAAATAAGCCTTGTGGTGCCTTATGTGGAAGTGCGAAGGCCAGAGACAGTGAGAACGTGGGCGGTTTTGTACTAGCAATGCGAAATCGTGTCTCGTTAAGCCAGAAGGTACATGGACAAGTAGAGATTGGTTTACTCTTGAATATCTGAATATGGCAAAATTCAGCAAATAATTGAAGCACTAATTCACACAAAATTATAAACCAGGATTCACAAACTAACATTTCATCAGTTAGAATGATCAGTTTTAATTCAACAGGATCAAATGCGGTCATTGTGCACAATATGTTAGCGCATTTAATCAACTTCTATTATTTCCTTGAGAAAAATGTGACCAAAATTGCAAATTTAAAGGACACAGATCCCTTGTACTTACTTGATTTATCTTTTTGAAGTTTTATGTAACAACTGAATGTAAAACCAGGACCTAAACCTATTTGGCCTTTAGGGACCTCGCCGCATGCTGCATGGATTGTACGAATGCTTAAGTAAACATCTAGGCACCTACACCCGCGTCAAGAGATGTGTCCTGCTAAATAGCTGCCTTATTCAAATGATAAATCAATCAAATTGCATTTGCTGTCACCACTGTGTACCCATTTCTATAAAGCTGCAATACCAATTAAAAACAAAAACACGAGAATGGAAATTTACTTGAATATGCGGATACAGACCAGAACTGGCTTCAAAAGACACCTTGTTGCCTGAGTGAATAACGGTTCATTTTGGGGTGAGGTCATGGTCTATCTGCAGCTCATTAGCTAGTGTTTCAGCTGGCAATTTCGACATTAACCCAAATTTGATAGTCAGATGGGGTGTGTTTACAAAATTTACGCACAAATTTTCCCCACTCACCACTTAAACCCTCTTACATCTCACTGTTCGGAAAGCAAATTTTGGGCGAACAAAGGGGAAAATCAACTTTCCCCAGAAAGTTCTCCCTCAAAGTTCATTTTCGTTAATCTTATTAATTTGCTAAAAGGACGCTTTGTTTCTGCAAGCGGTATCGTTCTAGACATAAGCCAATTTAATTAAATTTCCCTTTTTAACTCTTTCTTCCAAGAGGACGCAACAGAATCGATGTTTTGCAAGTAAAGGGAAACCAATCTTTACACCGTGACTTACTGCCAACAAAAAGTCCCTATAAATCGTCAAAATAAGGACTCCTACATATTTGGCCTTCTCAGGCCACCGTGCATTGACGAAACAGTCTTACTTCCCCTAACCGCACATATTCTGCACAGGTATAGATATGAAACGTCTCAGAAGGCGAACGTTTAAATAATGTTTGGCAAATTGATAGTCAAGTACTTTTATAAAAAAATGACAAAACTAACTAATCAAAGCAAGCCCCAACGTTTGTATACGGTTCACTCATTATCATGAAAAAGCAAACACCACCCATTTGGCAAATAATTGCATCTTTCGCGAACACAAAAGAACAAATCTGGTTATTTTGCAGCAGACAATATTTGTTCCATTGGGAATAAGCTGAATCATTAGAAAGGTGGTTCCTATAGGATGCACGGTATTTCAACAAAACAATTCACGACTAACTAGATAAGGTTATGCCATTATGGCTAACGATTGTTCT